AGATATGGCAAAATAGTTAAAAGTCTGGCAATAAATATTTCTGCTGCGCTATGGAGCACATAGCACTCGTTTAAGGGAAGCAGTCGCATCGTTAACTCGATGGATGGCAAACGGGATAGTAAACTGGAACTCGATCAGAGCTCTGTTAGCTAGAAGAGGATTAGCACTGAACAAACACCCTGGTATTCGCCCAATAGGAGTTGGAGAAGTTTTGCAGAGACTATGTGCAAAAACCATGGCTTTTGTAACAGGTGACGATGTTCAAGAAATATGTGGATCTGACCAACTCTGCGCCGGAACGAAAGCTGGAATAGAAGGTGCTATACATACTATGACGGACCTATTCAATGAAAAGAACCAAAATTGTATTTTACTTGTAGATGCTTCAAATGCGTTCAACGCCTTGAGCAGGCCTTTAACTCTGTGGAATGCTAGGGTGCTTTGGCCTCGTTTCCTATTCAATACATACCAAGGCTATGCAACCATTATGTTTAGAGGAAGCAATAAAATCATCCTTAGTCAAGAAGGAACCACTCAGGGAGACCCTTTAGGCATGCTAATGTATGCAATTGGCATATTACCTTTGGTAAAAAAACTAAAAAGCCTAAATTGGAAGCAAAACTGGTACGCTGATGATTCTGCATGTTTCGGTGAAATACTTAAAGTTAGAGAATGGTTTAACGCTTTACGTGTTGAAGGGCCAAAATGGGGGTATTACCCAGAACCCAAGAAAAGTGTATTGATAGTAAAACCTGAATATAAAGAAAAAGCAGAAGAAATTTTCAGAGACCTACAAGTGCAAATTGTAACATCGTACAGGTTTTTAGGGGGTATTATTGGTAGCTCAGAAGAAAAGAAGGAATTTGTGAAAGAAAAAGTAAAAAAATGGGTTGATTGTATAAAGAAATTTGGCATAGCTGCACATAAAAGTCCTCAAGCAGCGTATACTGCCTTTACTAAGTCATTACAAAATGAATGGGCATTTCTCCAAAGAGTAACAGAGGGATTTAGTGAAGAATACGAAGATTTAAAAACTGCCATACATCGCCATTTCACTCCCAACCTTTTCGAACAAGAGATTTCTGAACTTGAACATGACTTGTTCTCTCTCCCTACTCGTTTTGGAGGCTTAAATATTCAGGACCCGACAAAGAACGATGGTATTTCATTTGAAGCATCAAAACAATGCACAGAAAAATTAATATTAGCCATTAAAAATGGACAACCATTAAAGATTAATGATCATGTATCAACACTACAAGATGTAATAAAGAAGAGAAAACTAGAAAAAGACATGTTGGCTAAAGCAAATAATGAACGAATTATGGAATTACTTCCTGAAAGTCAAAAGAAGCCAATACTTAGAATTGTAGCAGGGAATACTAGCCAATGGTTAACTGTGACACCATGTGCATCTGATCATACGGATTTGTCCCCGGATCAATTCAGAGATGCTTTGTCAATTCGCTATGGCCGCACACTAAGAAATTTACCAGTACGATGTGATGGTTGTGATCAACCTATGAATCTAACACATGCATTAAATTGTAAAAAAGGAGGATTGATCAAACATGGGCATGATCAACATCGAGACCACTGTGCTGCGATAGCAAATATGGCATGGAAAGGGGTTGAAGTCGAGCCTATTATGAGAGAAGCTGACCCTGCAAACAATGTGCCTGCTTTAAAAGCTGATTTTAAAGTTAATGGTATTTGGGAGGCTGAGAGAGTAGCGTTTTTTGATAATCGCATTGTTAATGCTGACGCTCCCTCTTACGCCAACCAAGAATGGGGAACAATATCTCGAAACCATGCCATTCAGAAACACAATAAATATGACAAAGCAGCCGAAGACATCAGAGGAAGCTTCACACCATTAATATGTTCCACGGAAGGAGTCCCCCACAAAGAATATGAAGCGTTTCAGAGGAGAACAAGCGAAGCCCTGGCTGTAAAATGGAGAAAACCATACTCCCAAATTATCGGATGGTTGAGGATCCAAAGCCAGCTTTCCATCATTCGAGCAGTTTCGCTAAGGCTACGGGGAACTAGACGAAAAATTCGAAGCATTCAATTTGAAGATGGTGCCGCAATTCCCCCATTGCTGCTCTATTGAGCTTTCATTTTATTTTTTTAAACATTTATATTTGATTGAAAATCATAGTCATATGTTGAATTGTTTGAAATGTATAAATAAAGTTTTATTGATTAATATTTTAGCAAACTAATGAAAAACTTAAATATTAATCACTATCACACATTTTCTACAACTAAGGCTGCAATTGTGGAGAGGTTCCAGAGAACTTTAAAGAATTTGCTATATAGGGAATTTAGTGCTCAGGGGAGTTATAAATGGTTGGATTTACTTCCAAAGTTAATTAGAAAATATAATAATAAAGTGCATAGATCTATAGGAATGAAGCCTAACCAAGTGAGTATTAAGAATAGTAAATATGTGCATGAGAGGTTGACTTCTAAAGTAGTGCAAGTTAAAAAGCCAAGATATAAGGTGGGTGATAGTGTGAGGATTTCCAAGTATAAACATGTTTTTAGTAAAGGATATACTCCAAATTGGACAGGTGAGCTATTTACAATAGCAGAAGTTAAGAATACAAAGCCTGTGACTTATATCTTGAAAGATGAAAATGGTAATATAATCAGGGGAGGCTTCTATACAGAGGAGTTGTTAAAGACCAAGTATAAAGACATGTATTTGGTAGAGAAGGTAATTAGAAGGAAGGGTGATTTATTATATGTCAAATGGCTTGGATTCCCAAGTAGCCAGAACTCATGGATTTCCACTAAGGATGTCCAAGGGAGCGCGCCATGAGCCGGGAGCGCGCACGAGTTCGCGTACAAACCTCGCACTGTCAAGTTGATGATTTTGAGAATATACATGTGAATGCATGTGGATTTGAAATAGTAATGGAGTTGTACAATGGTATTGAACATTTATATAGGCTTTTATAGGCCGAGAGCTGGATTTTTAAAAAAGTGGTCAAAAAAAGCTCACCATGTTATTCTTATGGGGAAAACGTGCCTAAAGTGGCGTCTCTTTGCCATATTGCCTCTACTCTACATTTACACTTGTAAGGGTCAATAAATATAAGAAATAGCTTTTTTAGCTTAATATCGAATATATTTATGGGGAATAAGTAAGAAATAAGGTTTAACAATTATATAGGGATATTTAGGCAAAGATCAGGATTTTTGGATTTGGTGGCCAAAAAATGATCCCATGTTATTTCTTATGGGAAAATGTGCCCCAAGTGCCTTTAAACCGGCATATTGCCTCTACTGACAACAGGTAGTATCTTGGAGAGGTAGAAACTCCTCTCTTCTGTCTGTGAATCATATGGTGTTCCTCAAGGCTCCATTTTGGGCCCATTTCTGTTCCTTGTGTCTATAAATGACTTGTACTACATGTGTCTGGTAGAGCCATATTTTATGCCGATGACACAACCCTGTTTGCTAAGGATCCCATCCTCAGTATTTCTAGATCTAAGGTTGAAAGCCTTCTTGTCATGGCCACCTCATGGTTCAATGATAACAAACTTGTTTTGAATGAGTCCAAAACCCAATCAATGACCTTCAGTCTAGACATGGCATGTGAAAAGACTGGACCTGTGAAGTTATTGGGCTTCACTCTGGACCCACACCTCACCTGGGGAGACCACATAGAGTTGGTGTGCGGTAGGCTGGGGAATTCATTCGAGCCTCTTATTTTGCCTTTTTCCACTCCGTCATTATTTACGGAACCAGGCTCTGGGGCCATTCTTCTGGTGTAAGTAAAATTCTAGTGTTGCAAAAGGAGGCTGTCAGGGTGCTGAGTGGAGCCCAGTACCTGGAACACTGCCGTCCTCTGTTCCAACAAAACTGCATCATGACTGTATACAATGTATATATCTTTCAATGTCTTTTAGAAATTAAGGCAAATGAAGTGTACCTTTTGAGAAACAACCAAGTACATAACTATGCCACAAGAAATTGTTTAAATGTTTTTGCACATAGACACAGGCTGAGCAGAGCAATTAAATGCTTCCCTGTTTCAGGTTACAGATTTTTCAACCACCTAGTAGCCATAAGGGACTTGCCTATTTCAAGGTTCAAGGCAGTAATGAAGGACTGGTTGATAGAAAACCCTTTTTATGACCTGACTGAATTTTATAAAGTAGGACTGCTAGTTTTGTTATAGGTAAGGCTCATGCACTGACTGCCTTGCATGGCTATTTTCTTGCCTGTTTTTTTCATGGTTTTGCTACAGTTTTGCTTTGCAAGGTTTTATTTGTTTCCTGATTATTATATTTATCTAACTTGCATTTATTTGTGAATCAAGAGATGGACTATTTATTATTTTTTGTATTGTAAGTGACTTAGCCTATTGCTTTTGCTTAATAACCAAATAAATCATTGAATGAAAGTTTTACTTATAAATAAAAAATAGTCCAATAAAATAAAATTATAAATGCCTCAAAATTCCAACAAAAGATGTACAGTTAAGAAGTAATCGCATTAAGCAAAATCTTTGATAAAAAGTTAATGTCACCAGAGGGTTTCGATCTGGATACCTCATGAACAGCCAGTCATGTAAGCTATACACTATGCCACGAACACTGATGGATTCCAATTGTATTATTTGTACAGTTCGGATGTTTTGTTCCGATTTTAATAGAGGTCTCGTCAGATTTGTTTATGATCAACTGGATAATTTAATCGCTGTTAAATAATTTAGTTGCAATTTAAAGAAATGTGTGCTACAAACATTTCATTTACTTGGTTGAAATGAAATATTTACTATTTGAATTTGAGTTGGTGTAACTATTGCAATGGTAAAAAGCAAGAAAGCCTGGACCATCTAATTTGATATACTAATAAGAAAACTGAATTAACACTGTTCTGGTGCTGTATTTCTTGAGCAATCATTGAAAGAGCCGATTTGCAAATTATGGAAACGTAGGAAATTCATAGTGAAATGAAAAAAAAAACACATTTTCCATTAAATTTTAATGAGAAGGCCAAAAGACAAAATTAATCAAAGTTTACCAAACACATAACATTTAACACTAAACATTTCTTCAAAATTCCCCCAAAATCACAACCATAATTTCATCAAATGTAAAAAACATCAAAAGTTTAACTTCATTTGAGTCTTGGACTGGCTATAATTAAAACTTTACATGACGGATTCCTAAAAGTAATTTCCATTAATGCTACAAATCAAAAACAAAATTATTAAAATGTCAACATGTTATACAGCATCAAATAATTATCATCAGTCGTACAAAAAAATAAATTTTCATGAAATTAGTGCATGGCAAGTCACACCATAAAATATAGGCAAGTCAAAATCATACCAAACAATTTAGCCAATCTCTCACACACATAGTAGCATAATTCGATACTAGTTGTGAGTACAGTACATCAATTCTTATAACAGGTTAATTCATTAATGTTGAAGTCCGTTCACAAGATTAAGGCGGTTTGAGGGGGAAGTTCCCCACCTCTGACTTTGGCAAACCTCAGCTGTTGAGCTATTTTTTTGAAGGTAGGATCAAGTGGAGGGAATATATTTTTGTAAACGAGGTATACGGTATATTACTGAATACAGTACATCAATGAACAGTGGCGTAACTAGAACATGGCTTTGGGGCGGGGGGAATGAATGAGCTCAAGATCTGCACTCATGCGGGGGGTTTGGGAGTATGCAATACACCTCAGTAGTTAAGAGAGGGTTTCGTAATCGTAAAATAAAAAAAAATAGAAATCCAAACTCGCGTTTTCAGGCATTTCAGAATCACATTCAAAAGAACTAAAAAAATCAACCCAATTGAGGCTGTCTCTGGCCGGTCGGATTCAGAAACACAGAAGATAGTGTTTCTTGACTAAGAAGTACCACTATTGGTAAACACACGTGTTTGTCTTGTACCGACCGACTGCGTATTCGCAACTTACTACCGTTTTTCCAAGTTTTAGACTCCCCTCCCGACAGCCCTGACACCATACCGGATAATAACACACAATACACAACATTTTACGAAATAACATCAAAACGCATTTCAGAATGACATGGCTTATTTAATAATCTAGAAGTCTTAACCTAACAGCTGTCTGACATCTGCTTAGTGCTTGCCGTGCATGCCTGCAGTTAAAATTAGTTTACTTATACAAATCATTTTAGGGTTCTTGGGGGGCCCCCCGGTTCTATTCCCCTCATCCCCACCATAGTTACGCCACTGTCAATGAACAACGTCATTAGGCTGAAATAAACGTTGTTATTTGAAAACAAAATTAAATATAAAAAATTCTTCATAGGATTTGAATAAATGTGTAAAATTGACTGGGAAAGCTTTGATCTAAAAAAACTTCTGTTTTATGAATTAATTTTTTTATGGTTACACATTTCAAATTCTTTGGACAGCAGATTCACTTTTAAAATCTATGACTTGCCTTTACAAAATTGTGAAAACCCTAAAACAAACAAGAAATAATACTAACTAAATAAAAATCGTAAAATTTTTCTATAAAATGTCACCTATTCCTAGTGTTTCTAAAACCAAGTGACATAATTATTAATGGGAATATAACTATTCCAATCAATCAACTGGACAAACAATAACTCTATAAGATCACATGTATACACAAAAGGGTAATGAAAGAGGTTAAAACATAAAATAGCCAGTTATGTTTAGTGTTTTAATGGTTTTACTCATTTAAACATTTTTGTTACTCAATTTGACAAAAAAAGTTTTTTCCCCATTTCCATATTAAGTTTAAAACAATTTGTTGGATGCATACAAAAGTACATAAACTTACAAACATTGCCATTTGAAATAAATAAGTACTTAAAATGATTTATTAATTATTTATTTTAAAAGTTATATACCGGTACTTAAGTTGAGCAAAATTATAAGTCTAGGCTTGATAATGTCACATTCTTTATAGGGTAACTTCTTTAGTTGGCAATATCAGTTCATGTGATGATCAACTCACATGTGTTTCGTGTTTGAACTCTAGCAAAAACTAACTGGTAACTTAAGTAATTAAATTGAGTGATGTATAAGCAGTTAAAGTCAGCATTATGCGTTGTTAATAAAAAATTAAACCTAAGCATGGAATAATTCCATACAGTTATCACATAATTATGCAAACGTGATGAATTTTTTGTTTATAAAACTAAAATATAGGATACACTTCGTATTTTTCAGGAAACTCCTTAGGCAAAGGATGTCAAGATTATGACAACAGCTAAGACAATACACCTTAAATCACAGCAATAGCATATAAAACACAAATTTCACTAGACTATATGGTCTCTGGACTAACAAACCTAAACCGGTAACTTTTGGATTTTTTAATAACCACAAAATTCAACAAAGGTGCTAAAGATTTTTTTGTTGCTTAATATGTAGGCTATAAACCCCAAATACTATCCTCATATATACCCCATACTAACCCCATATACTAAATATATGGCTAGTTTGAGTACGGTATTCTCTACTTTTCATTTACCAGTGCCTCAGGCCATTACGTGGGACATACTAACGTTCCACCATGGTACGACCATCCTAATCTTGATTCACATTTAGTAATATTAAAAGCCAGTGTAATATTTGACAGGGATAGCATACTTTTAAACAATCTATCATTTTACACATGGACCGAAAGATGTGACCAATTAAAAAAGCTAGTGATAAGTCACCATATTTTACCACAAAATAATTTTTTGAGCAATCCCAAATTCAAGACTTAACAAGTTAAATCTTGCAATGGTGCAGAAAATAAAATTGAAACTGGTCAATCAGATGGCACACGTTTATTACTACGTGTTTTACAAAGTTGTCAGTAACAGTATTTCATTGCAACTTGTTGTACCACATTTTCCTTAGTGATATGCAACTAAAATGCCTGTCTAATTAATTAATACACTAACACTTCATGATATTTTTTTGTGCTAAAATCAATGACTGGTTTTTTTAGGGCATCCAAATTAACAATTTGCAGTTAATAGCTAACCATTTACACCACAATTTACAGCAACCCGACCTTCTTTAGTAAACCCAAGCATCTTTAGTAGTCTACTAACTGATCTCCAATTTTGTAAAGCTCATGACAAATAAGCTGGCACTTGGCGTAGCGTGGGTAGTGTAGGCGGGGTGTGGGTGGAAGTAAGGAAAAGACCGGTCTGCAAACATTTCTGCCCACTCATGGGGTTGACTCCCCGTGTTTCACGTACTGAGCGCCTTCAGGAGGGTCGCGAGGACAGATTTGACGCAACCCGCATATGATGTTTTTGAACTAGATACTAGTAGCGATTGGTCAAGTACCAGCTTAGGTGTCACGAGCTGTATGTAGCCTAACCTTAATCATAGTTGATAAACATAACAAAGAAATTGAAATTCACAAATGTATTGTTTTTAAACACTTCTATTAAGGGGAACTGTATTTTGTTAATGAAACTACTCAACCAAAGGATTCCTAAATTTCTCAAGTAGACTACAAAATGAAAACTGATTTATGAACACCAATAAAATCCCAAGACAGAAAAAACACTTTTTTAACTCACAGTCACAGCTATCTAGAACGATGTTACAGTAAGTGACATCATAATTATTACAAGTAAGAATCTTATATACCAAAGTAACCTTCCTAAAACATGTGATTTTTTCACCAGTCACAATAGTTAGTCGGAAACTAATATCTGTTGATTGCTGATCCACTACACATTATATGTGTCACCTTCCATGATATTATTCTCTGTCATTAATTTAACATAAAAAAACTTTTGAGTCCACACTCAAGTGACTACATAAGTGATACAAAGGCTTCACTTTCTATTCAACGCCTTAGGAACACAAAAAAAGTTTGTGAACGCCCGAAGATAAACTAATGAGCAACCATTCGTTTCAGGACTGAAACAGATAATATTTTTAGTCTGCCGTAGTTTGACTTAAAATAATAGCTAATAAATAAGAATTTCATAAAACCTTCATGCCGAGTTTAGGAAGTCCACAGTATCTTAGGCTGATAGTAAAGCCGCGTTTACACTGTGCAACTTGTTTAATAAACTTCTGTTGTACAACCAAATTATAGTAATTGGTTTGACCATGTTTAAAAATGCAATGAAAAATATTAAACAAGTTGTACAACAAACGTGTTGTAGGCTACAACAAAAAACTGTGTTTTACAACAAGTTGTAGCGTTCCTGACCCGTGTCGAAAAGATCAAAGGAAATTTGTGTTTTATAAACTTTTGTTGTCCACAGGAAACGTCCAACTTGTTTACCAAAAATGGGTACCGCTATATGGGCTCTAGTCTATACTAGTAGTCTAGATCAGTTAGTTCGCTTCCTGCAGTAGCCTAGACAACACGTGACAATTGTTGATAGCAGGTCAGCAATAGAGTGGTGCCTGGCTGACATGTTTCAGCTCATAGAACAGTATAGACACAGAAACATTCTGTGGGATGCACCGTTGGATGATTATAAATGTAGACACAAACAATATGACGCTTGGGCTGAATAGGATAATATGTTTGAAATTCCAGCCTGCAAGTGTGAAAAGTAAATGAGAAAGTTGATAAGCCAATTCAATCGGAAGTGCAAGTCGGGCAGAGGAGCGGAAGAAATACTGGAATTGCCTCCCTCAACGATGTGTTTTTCTTCTTGATTCTTTCTCCTACCAGCAAAATCAAGTAGGCCTACACTCTGCACTTGTCATTCTTAAAAAAAATGTAAAACTAGTCCTCAATTTATTTATTTATTTCAACGGAAACTACCAGTTTATAAAAAATACATGAGAAATTACGTACATGCAACAAGATACAGAAGAAAAACATATATGGATGCGTAAGAAGCTGACATGATGATGAGATTTCAATGATAATGTTTTGCGATTCCCCAGCCAACAAAATATTTATCATCTCATTCAAAATCTTTAACATTTTACTGCCACTGTACTTAATCCTAACCTGCAGTGAAGGACGTACACAAATGCTTTGCTCTTTCCTTCTACCACAGGCAATCCCAACACAAGCAGCAGCTGCCAAGAACAGATCCTCGTCACTTGAAGCATCAAGGTGACTGAAGGTTTTCGAGCAAGCTACTGTTAAACACGTTTGATAATTGTTTTTGGCACATACAACTTGAAGTACAATTAAAGTTGTATAAACACAAGGTCAAGTTTATAAAACAAGTTGCTTAGTGTAAACGCGGCTTAAACACAAACTATTCAGCTCACAGACTACTACCATTGTATAGTAGGCTTACTGTACTTACCGTTATGGCACTCCAGTCAGTTTCAGTTTCAATGTTTCTTCAACATATGCCTTTCCAGATACTCTTTTCGACAGAAGGACTTGGGACACGCAGTACACGGGTACGGTCGTTTGCTACTGTGAATCATCATGTGGGCGTTCAGGTTACCGACTTTAATGAAGGCTTTACCGCAAACACCGCAAGCGTGAGGTTTTTCCCCTCGGTGGCCCAATAGGTGATTTTTCAAATCCCCGCTCTGCATAAACGTTTTCTCGCACAGCGTACACTTGAACGGGCGTTCGCCGGCGTGAATCACCAAGATGTGTCTCTTTAGGCTAGCGGCCGTACTAAACAGTTTTGCGCAGGTCGCACATTTGTACGGTTTCTTCTTCGTGTGCAACACTGAGTGAATCTTCAACCCATCGCTTGTACTGTAGCCTTTATTGCACACTGAGCATTCAAATGGCAGCCGCTGGCTGTGAGTAACAATGTGACTGATCAATCCTTGCTTGGTTGTGAAGCCTTGGTCGCAATGGTCACACTTGTATGGGCGCTCCCCGGTGTGAATGAAAGAGTGAGTCTTCAAGCTCGCCTGAGTTGACAGCTGCTTGCCGCAGACGTCGCAACGGAAAGGCCTCTTGTCCGGAGGTAAATGAGTCAAAAGGTGCGTTTTCAAAACTGCGCTGAAGCAAAATGATTTTTTACAAAGAACGCATTCAAACAACCGTCTACCCGAATGAACCACCGAATGCTTTTGCAGTTTCAACCCAGATGTGAATGACTTGTTGCAAACGTTACATTGGTAGTTTTTTTCTCCTGTATGGATTAGGAAGTGAGAAGTCAATTCTTTGCTTTGGGTGAACTGCTTTTCGCACACGGTACATTGAAATGGCCTCTTCGTTATCTCACTTGGTTGACTAGATTCCATTTGAGACGTTCGTCAGTAGGTCTAACTTTTCAGTATATACTATTTGGCAACAATTTTTAGTTTATTTTCCTAGGTCGGTTAACATTTGATTTTTCAGCAGTTTTCATTCTTTGATTTTCTTGCAATATTCTTCTCTTTGTTTGACATTATGTTGCTTTTGGTATGATCTGAAAGCAAAGTATTAGACAGGTAAAGGTATGAGACAATGAGTACCGCATATTGGATCAATAATATTAAAAAGCGATTTAGTACTATAATCAATAAAATAGAAACTATTATATGGCATATTACCTATATGGGACAAAATTGTAATCTGAAGAATGAATTAAAGGGGTCTTTTAAGACCTCGGTAGTCAATGTCTTAATATAGCTTGCAATTTCATCCTTAAAAGCTTCAGATTGTTCAAGCTCTAAAATCAAAAGATGGCGAGTTACGCTTAGCTTTTTGTCAACAGCTACTGACTAAAATCAATGGTAACACTAACTTCCTTAAAAATGTTTGGATGTCTAATGAGGCCCAATCTATATATAAAATATGGCAAGCATGATATTTGTCGGCAGAACTCCTCCATGGTTTCTCAACCGATTTTGTTAGTTTAGGGCTCATTGGAAAGATCTCATTGAGTATATGTCATATAAGATCTTACATGTTAAAAAAGTCCCCTCGGCTCTGCCCCATTAAAGTTCCAATGTTTACCTTTTTTATTTACATAGGTTCAAGCTATTTCTGTTAACAGCTGGTAATAATTGTAGGCCTACCTATAAGTTTACGTTGTAATGAAAACAATCTTTTTGTGATTACATGGCTAAATTATTTTTTTATTATTTTGTTTCACTATTGCCGGCTTTTTTAATAGGCCTACACACTTCTTTAGTACCGGTACTCTTCTCTGCTTTTTTAAAGACTTGCCACAGCGTCGTCGGACAAATATGACCGGTAGTCGTAGCAGTATTTAGCTGGATGCCTATGTAATAGGTAGTCTGCTGTCCGGATTAGGTTAGGGCCTAGTTATTGATTATAGTACTAAATCGCTTTTTAATATTATTGATCCAATATGCGGTACTCATTGTCTCATTACCGTTGAAGTGACACAACCGGTTTAGAGAAATTTATTTTCTTAATGAAACTACAAATAAAGAATATTTTGATTTTTAATTTGAAATTAGGCCTATAGCTGGCAGGTTAGGTTTGGTTCCAATTTAGACCAACTGTGTTAGTTCTAATTGTCTAATTTCAAGTCAGCTCCATTTTTTGATAGAACGGTCTAGAAACATCAATAAATTAAGGTTTAAGTTACCCAGATGAATCCAAAACTAAAGGTTTTATCCAAACGAAAATGGCCCACATGGCATACAGCAGGTCAAGTTATTGGTAAAAATACGACTTTAAACAAATTTCGAGAAAGGATTTGAAAATAAATAATTCATTTAAAAATGTTTTCACTTGGGAAAAATAAATGTGTGTAGGCCTAGGTATATTGACGGCTGCACTTTACTTGACGTCCTACACTCATTCGAATGAAAATATCGATCGATATATCGATTAATCGATTGCTTCATTCGATATATCGTTTGGTTAGTTAGGTAAGGTTAACCTAACCTAACTAACCAAACGATATATCGAATGAAAGAATCGAATGAAAATATCGAATCGAAAAAACCAATCGAATGAGTGTAGGACGTCAAGTAAAGTGCAGCCATATTGACTAACTTACCTAAGTTATTTCCTGACTAAGTTAACTTAAATGTGCAAAATAGACATTTTAGATTCTCAGGGCACCCATTTTATATCTTAATTCTTGAATTTGAATACGTTATCCTTATCCTAGAATATTTTACATTGGAAAGTCAAAGGTAAAGCAAAATTTAGATTTGTTCGTTTTGGTTGAATATATTTGTAGATCCTAAGCTTCTGTAGAGGCCCATAGGGTCGGTCTACATCGAGTTAAGTTAAAGGTACAATTAATTTAGTTGGATTAGGCTAAGCCTATGTATTTTATTTATTGCTACTGGCTATAATGACTAACAGGGATCTAGTTTTAAATAGGCTATTGAAATGATTTTGGGATATATAGATGGATGATTAAGATTATTTCTTGGACTGAATCAGCTTTAGACTAGCTTACTGGTTTATACCCTGAACGGTCCTCGTTTAACACACACTACTAACTTACTTTGCACTAAAGGGAGTTTTAAGTTGGAGATCTTTTAAAAAGTACCTACCCAAAATCGTTTCTCAAAATAACCTGTGCATTAAACCTTGGCAATTCAGCCTAAACCTTACCTCAAAATATGTCCGTACAAATGAATTCAAAAAAAGAAAGCTTACTTTACACACATTCAGCAATATTAAGGTAAAATTTCCTACCTTGATGTTTACTTTACCATCGAACATAAGTATTAAGTAAATACAAACACCAAACACCTAGTCTAAAATGATAACAATTTCAGCTGTTTTGTTGTTTGTCAGACAGCCATAGAGCAGAGCGCTTGAGCGCTATCAGGCACTAATCACCTCATCGGTAAAAGTCCAAGTTAACAACGTCTGAGAACAAAAATGCTAACATTGACATCGGAAGTGTATCAGCGATGTATATAAAAACTCTTTGCACGTGTTTTAATATTTTATTATTTAAAACACATTATAATTTCATATTTGTGATCATTTTACTTGAGCCATTAAAAACCCCGATGATTAACGCTCCTTTCACACAATACAATTTTTGCCGTACCCGTACAGATAATTGTGTTTAGACGTAAAAGGTGTAGGTTTTATCGGATGACAAAAACTGATTAGTGTAAAAAGAGGTAGGTCACTGAGCTTATAATTCATAAAATTCATTATTTAGTTTGTTTAGTTTTAAAGGAGTAAGTTATCATTGGTATGGTTTTATTGAGGCAGCATTGTCTATTTTTAATTTTAGTTGTTAAGATTGACATGACATGCAATTTTTGTAATTGTTATTTTTGTTTAGTAAATGATTTGTAATTGAGTTAGTGAATAACTGTGTGGCAGCACTCCTGTACGACTAACAAACTATTGCCTTGGTCCATGTCTATTGTGACCAGTGACGTTGAGACACATTCATCTAGCTGCACAGTCAGAAAACCGCTTGCATTAGTGTTGATAATGTGAAAGAAACCTATAGACTCTAGACACTCTTTTTTGTATTTACGAAAAAATGGGTTACTGGAATATGACTATATTGATACTGCTTAAAATGTACAGATATATATTTTTAATTCATACAGTTTCGGTTTTAAATTCTGTATGTTTAATTTTCAATATTTTCATAATTTTATGTTCATAAATTTAAATCAATAAAGTGCGAATTAATGAGCTGATGTCACCTGTCTGCCATGTTATTTAATGGGACGTCTGTCACTAAAAAAACACCACTTGTGACGTTGCCAATTCTACCAGGCCGCAGCCTGTAGTTTAATGTGGCCGTGAGACACGGCGTAAAATTGTACTGTTTTCTACCAAATGGAGATACCGTACGGATTTCAAATTATTTTTTAATAGTATGAGATGTCCATGGTGCAAGGATTTCCTTCCACCATGTGAGATGTCTATACTTACACGATTCAAAGTCAATGAGAATTGGACGAAAAATCTACCCAACCTTTTAACATCCAAAGTCGTTATTCAGCACACATGGACAAAATCGATGGGCTGCTTTCTATAGTCAATGGCTCTGTTATGTTCTTGTTTTGAAATTATTTTTTATTCTAATGTCTACGTCGGTCGTCGACGTTTACAGATGGCACTGGCAGAGAACTTGTTGTTGTTGGTTGTTGGTTGAGTTGTTGAGTTGAGGTTGAGCCTGTCATCAGTGTCGTCCTTCTGCTGGTGGTAAACATTAAACAACAATACAGTACTGTGTTTGTGTTAGGCCTACTTACAAAACTTGTTTATCGCCTATAAAAATAATACTGTTTTTGTTGGAAAGTTATTCTTTCATCGAGCCCAGGTAAACAACCCAATATGCTCTCATTAGTTTCAGGTCAATAGTCTATAACCAATTCACTAATCCTTAGCCAAACTTAAACGTTAGCGAAGTTCAAAGTAAAATTATCTAATATGAAATCTCTAATTTGGTAATAATTTAACAAATTTCCAAGTAATTTTATTCTCAACTAACTTATGTTGTCTAGTTCAACCTTACTTATTACTTATATAAAATAATAGTGATTTATTTACTTTCGTCCCAGTTCCAAAATAGTTGTAGGTATTATCTACAACCATGGTTTCGGCACTAAGTTAGTTGTGTCATGGTCATCTAGTTAGCGAGTCGAGAAATATCTTGTCGTTGTCAGTCGCTTGGACATCATCATATTCACATAAACATACACGTACATTGTTACAATAGATTAAAATAATAGGTTCTCGTGGACTGAACACAGGCCTGTGACAAACAGTAAATTATTTATTTAATAGTACCGTCACAGGAGCAGGCTGAAGAACACCTATGTTATGCCTGTGTTCTGTCCACGAGAACTTTTTATCTTAATCTATTGTAACAATGTACTTGTGTGTGTTTATGTCCGTGTTTGTGTGAATATGACAACGTCCAAGCGACCGACAACGACAAGATATTTCTGGACTTGCTAACTACGCGACCATAGCGCAACTAGCGTTGAAACCATGGTTGTAGATTATAGCCTACAACTAACTTATTTTGGAACTGGGACAAAGTAAAGGTAAATAAACCACTAGGCTACCTATTATTTTATATTTGTCTCGCCAGTTCAGGGGCAAGTAACAACAATGAGTTTATTACCTATGTAGAGCCTAATTATTATTTTATGTATTTTCTCGCCAATGGCATTTTTTTACGTTTTTGGAAACGGAACGGTCCAAACCCTGGTCTTGCTATCAAACGTTGATCTTTTTGTTAGATAGCATCAATAAGTTAATAAGTTAATTCATGTAGCCCAATGAGAAATGGTATCTGGGTCTGGAAAAGATCTTGCTTGGATCAAAACCAGCAATCAACATCATATCACACTTTGCCTATATTTAGCCTGACTAATTCTGTTCCAAAAGATTTTGAACGGTATTTTTTGTTTAAGAAATCTAGGTACCTAAGTTAATTTATTCCAAAACAAATTATATTGAATTATTCACATAATTTGTTATTGAATTAATACATATAACCTACTATGTAGCCTAATCATGTGGTTGGGGTTGGTTTCATTTAGTTTTTTAGTCGGTGTATGAGCAAGCACAGTAGTTATAACTTCCTTGTGAAGTATGAATGAAAGTATTACATGTATATTATACTAGCTGTACCCGCGGGCTTTACCCCGTTTAACTTCTTAATTTTCAAGATGAGCTCGTTCGCATGGCTCAATCACGTCCTGGTTGAAGTTCGTTCGCTACGCTCACTCACCTTTAGGTTGGAGCTCGTTCGCTGCGCTCACTTGCCTTCAGGTTAGCTCGTTCACTACGCTAACTCGCTTCCAGGTTGAAGTTCGTTCGCTACGCTCACTCACCTTTGGTTGCAAAATTAGCTGTTGTCATAAAAAAAAAAATAGTGCTGCTCCCTGTTGGTAATCCTTGTAACTTTAAGCCTATTGAACATAATAGAACATAACCAACTTGTTTAATTGAAACAGCTGTTATGATTCATTAATTCCTTTTAAATATGTAAAAAACATAAGGTTAACATGGGAAACTCCAGAGCCACTGGGGCGGAGCCCGAGAGTCCGATCAGAATAAAAACAACTTAGTTTTCCTATTTAATGCCTAAAGAATCAATGTGCCAAATTTCAGACTCCTAGGTAAATGGGAAGTGGGAGAATTAGTGATGAGTGAGTGAGTGAGTGTGTCAGTGAGGGCTTTGCCTTTTATAAGTATAGATGATATGATTATTGAATTATTGATTATTGATAAGGGAAATCATAAAAGTTACAATAACTTTTGATCAGTAATTTTTACAGCAATTAGTTTGTTTGGGGTTAGAACGACAAAAAACATACTAGCCTACATTTTAATTTAAACTGGTTGCCCTTCTTTTAATCCGATTTTTCTGCTACATGTAGGCCTATTTAGATGTTTTGTTTTTGTGAATATCCCAAAATTTGCTATTAATAGAGCTGTAGGTAGGTTTAATGGGGTTGGTACCAATTTGTTACGAGTTAAAAAGTTATAAATTAACATACTAAATTATAAACAAAATCGTTCTAGCCGTTTTTAAATCCGATTTTTCGGTTATTTTATAGATGATTAATGGAAAACCACCATTTAAAATCTAAATAAAAAAAATAAAATAAAATAAAAAACTCCTGGAGATAAACTTACCATGGATTATGACAAAAAAACATGCGCCCACAAAATTTCGTCACAATTGGACAACAGATGTGGTCTGTAGTTCTGTACACATTAGTAAGAAAGTTTATTCTAAAATAAATACAGTATAGGCTATATCACACTGACTAAAGTCAATGCTTTAACGGAGTTTTACAGGAGTTACGATGGTAATGTATTCATTGGTAAGATTACGGTTTTCATCGGTACCTAACCAAATCTACATTTTCACTCCTTGACACAAAAAACTAATGTTAGTAATATCCTCTAGAATAAAGCTTAACCTTTTTGTATGGTTTATGAGTGGAAAGATAGAATTAAAATGTGTATTTTTTTAGGAATGTCACAACTTGAAGATCCTTCAAATGATAAAGTTGCCAGTGATGAGGCAGAGTCTAGTAAATTTGCCTTTATAAATGTGGAAGAGAGTATCAAAAAGGTAATATTATAAAATGTACTATATTTTGGTAAGACCACATATTTTTTAAACATTTGCTCACATTTTATCTTAACAGAACCCCTGTACATAAGCCCTAACTTTCTATTTCCTTAGGGGTTTCATTTCATACAAGTAGGAAACAGATTAACAAATTAGTACGCTTTTATTTTGTCTTATAATTTATTATGGAAATTTGTGTGATATTTGAGATGGCTATGTTTCATTAACGAAAGATAGTAAAAGTTTGATAGAATTTAGCTTATAAATTTGAAATAAAAACTTCACCACCAATATTTTAAAAATATTAATTTAATTTATTTTTATAAAATAAAAAGTTTTGAAAATATTGGTAAAAATTTTATTTCAAATTTATATTTATTCCAATATTACCAGTTCTTCTTGAAGATAAGAATTTAGGTTATCGTCAGGGCTGACGCAAGGACCACGGCCGCATGGGGCGCTGCCAGAGGAGGGCGTCAGCGGCAGCAAATCCTGTATGGCGTCGTCAACATTGTCAAACCTTCTTGGTTAACATGTTGCAGTACACTCCTCTTTCTTGTATCACCTGGTAGTGAATATGTTAAACACTTTTTTGTGATGAAAAAATTATTGTCCTTATATATTGTGGTCGCCTTTGTGAGAGCAAAATGTTTTTAAGGAATGATGTTTAAGGTAGGAAAAATATTTTTTTTGATAGATCGGATTTTTATAAATCACAGCTGTACGGAAATTATCTATTTTTTGTGTAGGCCTAGTGTAACTCTTGACAAATTAATACTTATCGTACTATTTTCAAAGATTTAATTTTGTAGGAAACTGTTGAAGAGCATATAGAAGATGTTTATAATGAAGAAGAAAAACAGGATGTTATCTGTGAATCTTCGCAGGATAGTTTAATAAATCCCGTAAGTAAATTTTAGAATAGCTGTTCTGGATATCTTATTGGTGATTAGAATTGCCTATATTTAAAGACAATTAATTATGGACTGAATTTAATAATGCTTAATTGTAAGTAGTATTTTGCATGGCTAAAAATGTGTGTATTGTGACGTTTTAGTCTAGTTTACTAAATTTATTTAACCTATTTACACTACTTATTACAATTAAAGACTGAATAAAAGTATTCCTTACAAATGTTACAATTTAAACAAATTTCTATTTAAAACTTATGATGGTTTCTTTCACCACAATTATGTACAAATACTAGCTACAAAGTGACTTAACTCAATTTTCTACTATTTACAGTCTCTCACTACAGTTCTCTTACAGTGGCATTTCCGATGTCGTCCACAAGTTACGGCACTGTCCCAATAACTAACCAATCACCAAAAGCTCTTTATAAGAAAATTACATTCATCAAATTTATCCTGTATCTATATTGGGACTACAGTATTCTGAAACACACTACGGTATATTGAACAGTTATGTTAATGGTTAAGGTTTTTTTTAAACTTGCAAGCATCTTTATGAACTGCCTGTAATTTTTATGGTTAAAAAAATATCAAATTAATGGGTGATTTGTTGTTACTATTGTCTTTTTGTGTGTGTTTTGTTGGTGTGTGTAAGTGAATCATAATTTTGTGTTTCCAAGTTGCCAGGACAATCAATAGAATTTCCGATAACAGAATTCCCTGAAGACAATTTTTATTATAAACCACAAGAAACTAACAACAGAACGAAGAGGAGAGTGAATTTTTCTAAAATGGAGCTCGACAGATTAAAAAGACTTGTTTTAAAGTTCCCAGTTATTGAGAGGAAACAGCATGATAAAAAAAGTGAAACAATGAAGAAGGAGTGTTGGAGAAAGATTGTGATGGAATTCAATTCCCATGAAGATATCATCAAAAGGAACGTAGATCAATTAAAAGGTGCATGGAAGAGAATCAAAAGCATGTGGAAAAATAAAAGAGCCGCACAAAGGCGTTGTAAATTCAAAAGTGAACCATTTACACTTGAACATGAAAATAAAATGTTGGAACTTTTGAAAGACCAGATGCCATCAAAGAGCATTCCTAAAGACAACAGTGAAACAATATACAATCCTGTTAGAAAAGGTACGAGTTTTTGCATTATATTAAGTATTTTTAATATGCTAAATAATTCAAACATAAAATAAAAAAGCTTAAAATTAATTACTCTAAATAGTTTGGTGAATACAAAAAGTGAACCAAAGCTATGCAATGCAAAAGAAAAATTAAATTGAAACACTGCGCCCAGGGAAAAGATTTATAAGGCTCTACTGAGGAGTTTGCTGGATAATCTAACTAATTTTTATGTGGTACATCATATTTTGTGTACATTTCTTTGAATACATAATATTGGCTAAGTGATTAAAACTACTCTCTATTTATTTAAATAACATAAAAATCAGGGGTTTTAATCCTGACTTGCAGACTATGGTAATGCAATTTTTAATTATTTTAATTCCATTATTTGTGTTGTAATTTCAGTAAAATTGTAAAACAAAATTGCCCAACCCTTTCTATATCATTCATTTACTCAAATTCCAGTCTTCACTGAGGCATCTTTAATATACAGGGGCTATTCAGAAAGTAAGCAACATTTCGGAATCAAAAGCACAATTTTACGATGTACATTAGAATGAGCAACTAAAATACTTGTCTATTTAGTTACAAAACAATTGGAGGCACTTATAATAGTGGTGGGCGAGCTTTTAAATTCCCTTGAAGAATTTCGCCACCTGTGATCTCAACCGCTCATTGACATCCAATCGGAGATTGAAGCTCATCAACATTAAAGCCGTGTACTGTATCACTAAGTCTTCATTTTGGGAAACAACTAAAAGCTACTTGGGGCAAAGTCTGGGCTGAAAGGTGGTCGAGGGGAAATCTTCCATTAGAATAAATGAAGGAGATCTTGTGTGCATTTTCCATGTGAGGTTTGCAATCGTCATGCAAAAAGAATTTTGGACGTCAAATTTTAGCACTTTACAGCTAAGAGGATCTTGAATCCCAGCATGTTTTTTAACTTGAATATTGCAGCAATTGACAGTTTAATAACATTTCCACTGTAACACAGAGGAGGCAAACACGTCTGTACTTAAAAGTACGAGGCGTCAGACGGAAACACTCCTTACTTTCTGAATAGCCCTCATATTTATTTAACCCTTTCAGTGCTAGGCCAATAATTCATATTTTGTAAGACTTTTTTGTTTGCCTTTTAATTCCATTACCTGTTGTTGAATTTTAACTGTCATGTTGTCACTATTTTATTAATTAGGCTAATTTTGAATAATAACACAATAAGAAAATATATAAGAAAGATAAATCCCGCTATTTGTAGTAAACATTAAATAAAACTTAGTTTTTGTTGTAATTTTCCTGGTTTTCCTATAAATTTTTATGTTCTGATAGCATTATTTGAAACCAAAATCTCATTAAATCAAAAGACATATAGTTTACAATGTAATATTGAATTTAACCTTGATTTAGTTGGACGAGGTTATCGTAATATAGCCATTTTAGGGAAACTAATGTTTTGCAGCAAAGTCTCAGGAACACATTTATGATCACTGTTGTGTTTAAACCAAAAGATTGCATCTAAATAGTCCGTGACTAACTGGTGCTGCTACCTAGTAACGCATTGAACAACCATCTGCAGCGCCATCTGTTCGCAATCGGTGGCTACAGTTTAAATACCGGGTTTTGACTCCCCAGTCTTCAAGCACAGATAGCCGAGAAGGCTAGGGCGTGTGTCACTTGGCCAGTGGCATTCGTCTGCTCGGGTTCGAATCCCGTCCTGTGTGGCAAATAATTGGTGACCTGTGTGTTTGTAGCGATATACTACAACCACTGGGGCATAGTGAGGTGTTCATAATCCTTGGTTTAGACATACACCTCGAAATCATCGGATTGGGCGAATCTTTTAGCTAAGTGGTTGATAGTGTATCCTATGAACATGCAGGTCACCAATGGCCTTTTTGCTATTTTTCGTTAAAATAACCTTCCTCTCTATATCCCTTAGAGATTTTTTAAAACAACGATATATTGTTTCATAGCACTGAAAGGGTTAAGAATTAATTGCAAAGACAATTTTATGTGGGGATTGTAGGAACTGTGACAATAGCCAGAGCTGGCCTTAGGCTCGTGTGAAAGGTGTGTCTGCACATAGCCCCAAACTTTTGTGGGGGGGGGGGGGGGGCGCTCCTAGTGCAAAATACCAAGATTGGAAGGCATGATGGATTGGGTGAGGGGGGTTTAGTTTATATGTTTGAATACTAATATTATACATCGAGATTTTTTTTGGGCCCCGCACCAGCCAAGGCCGGCTCTGACGACAACTTTGGAAGTTAAGTTTTTCCACATGTTTTAAATTATATTTTCTTAGAACCCAAAGTTGTAGCTTTAAAATTTTAATTAAATGTTCCTAACATCTAACTATGATGGTTATCTTAAGTTTTTGTTGAACAGTTGATGCATGAGTCTAGTTTCAAAAGTTATTCATCAATTTAGGAATATTGAATCTGTGGTTTTGTTGTAGTTGAAACAAACTCCGCTCCAGTTATTCCTATTGTAAACATCAGTCCTGTTCCAACTTCTTCACTTACCAAAGTTTTGACTGCACCGAGGGAGGCTGGCCCTGTGTTGGAAAAGAAAGTAGTGAAGGACATTGATTATTTAGAGGGGAAACTACCTAAAAAGGCTGTTTCCCTTGAACAAGAATTGCACAATGCCAAAATGGCTTTCATGAAAGCTGAACATTTGAAAAGAATGGAGGTACTGAATGAGGAAATGAGGTTTTGGAGTAAAATGAACTTAAATGCGGAAGCATATGGATCTTCTCTACGAAGTTTACAAATTCCTTTACCTGGAATACCTGTGCACAAAGTCAATGGCAATGTTTTTTAATTAGCACAGTATAACTGTTGCTCAAAATTAATCTTAATGTGAGGGTTCACTTAAAATAAAATATGGGTTTGGGAGGAAGTTGACAGAATTTGTGGATTATTTTTTAGTTGCACCTCAAATCAGGAGTTTTGCTATTTTGTATTTATCTTTACTGCAAGTTTGTCCACTAAAAGATTGAGAAAAATTGAATTTTGTTTTCATGAGACAAGGGAAAACATTTACAAATCAATCGTTCAATCGACAAATAAATTAGGCATAATTAAATTACAGGGATTATCATGGAGTTGAACAGGCTAACTATGCATTAGTTACCTATTTTTAAGCTTTAACATAATTATCAATCACTATTGTACAATCTTTATCATACATGTATTGATGCAAACTATATTTTTACTTGGTGGTAAATGTGTTTATGGGGTTGGCCAAAATTGTGTAAAAATTCAAGTATCTAATTTTGTTTATTAGCTAAATGGAAATTTATACATTTTCTTCCTATGATTGTAATTCTAAAATCCTCTAAACTTTAATTTGTTTTCTGTGATGAGATTATGTATCTAATTTACGTCTAAAAGGTGTTTTATGTTTGTTGTGTATTGTCTGCTGTTTTATTGCACACAGTTGTATTTTTGAAAACAATCAACTTGTCAATCTTCAATGTACAGTAAAAGTCTAATTATTGAGATCAACGAGTACCAGAATGGTAAAGATGTAATAAGTTGGATTTTTCAAGATAATGGCAATATAGACTTAACACTATAGACTTGCTGCATGATGGATTCAATAATTTGAAATACACCAAACTGAAAGAAAAAAAAAACTGTTGTAAACTCAAATTTTGTGGCCAAATTTGTTATTTTTTCTGCTTATCCGGTAACCCGTATGATGGTGTTGATTGGTGTTTGGAATGAAGTTCTACCGTTTCAAATTTTATTTAATAGTACAATTTGTGGTTCAAGATCAATAATGCTTATTGTTACTATGTACATGCACAGAAAAATTATACTTGTTTTATTTCAAAATATACAGTATACAGACATTAAATTACTATAATTTTGTAATTTTTAACCTGTAAATAGCTTTGCATTTTAACATGTACATTTTTTAGAGTTAAGTGAATATAGCAATATTATTGACATGGTTTTAGTTTAATATTTGTTTGAATAGGTATAATTTTTTTAAATAAAATTGTTACAAATGGACTTTTTTTTATTATTTTACCTTTTTCCTTAAAGTTAATGAATTTTCTTATTACTAAACCATGTTTTATTAAAGGAATAAAAAGAGCATCTATCCTTTAGTTGGAGTGACAACTCAGTTGGCCTTCTTTGAAGGGAGAAAATCTAAACATTATTGTTTGTTTTGTGCATTGCATTTGAATGTCAAGGCTTCAGCATAGCCAAGGAGTGTCAAACAGATCCTCCTTCAACAGACATTCTACATCCTTGCACTTCAACAAACATGATAAAGATCTTGAAAGATAGTGCAGTGATACCCAAAACTGATAATGGCTTCTAGAGCCACAAATGTTTTAGTATCCTCAGACTTTCATAGAAAATGTTTAAGAATCAATGGCAAGGACAAAAATCTCAATGGTACTTGAATGTGTTGAACGTTAGATTATTATACAAGTTTATTGCTTTGATAACATCTCAGAAAATGTAGAATTACTTAGTTTATGTTAGTCAATGTTTAGTTTCATATTAAAATCAAATCCATAATGTGACGGAGTATTTATTGGGAGTCAGTAGAGCGACGGACTACAAAATGTGGTTTGCGTCCTGCCGCCACTGTCCTGGTATCCGCCACTGTCCTGGTATTTGCTACTGTCCTGGTATCCGCCACTGTCCTAGTATCCGCTACTGTCCTGGTATCTGCCACTATCGTGGTATCCGCCACTGTTCTGGTATCCACCACTCTTGTACTGTATCGGCTCATCTCTTGCCCAGGCCTGAGTCTTGCAGGATTGGCACATGCAAGATTTAAAAAAACTGCTACTGTAACCTCATTAAACAAAGAATAAGAATAAACTAATAAACAGCTATAATCACATTGCGGTACACAGGGTATTTTATTAAATCAGATGACTAATTTCTTTCATTTATTACAGCTTATAGAGATTGATGAGAATTCATCTACGTTTGGTTCTGAAGTAGTAGACGAAGCATTCTCTACTGAAGAGGTTTCACAACACACTGACCCAAATGCAACAAGTAATAATAATTCATGTTTATTATGTACAGTAGAAATCCAACTATCCGAATATCCGTATCCCTTACAGAAAGAATTACAAAAACCTAACACCACAATTAATGAGAATTGTTATTAGAGAAGCCAGAAGCCGTGATGACGGCAAATTAAAAAAAAACCTCTCCTGCAGTTTTGTGGACATAATCATCGTCTCCTGCGGTCACGGAAACATTATCATCATTTTCCATGATCACAGCAAAAACGTTAAATACATTCCACGGTCATTTAGACATTAGTATCGTCACCTGTAGTCACAGAACCATAATCATAGTTTTTCATGATCGTGGCAAAATCAGGCGCATCTTCCGCTGTCTTGTAGTTTATTTATTTGTTTTATTACAATGCTGTAAAACAGGATAAACCCAGATACATTGTAGCATTAATATTCTAACAACAAAATCTTGACATGCATGATAAATAATAAATATTGTAAAAGTTCCTCTTGCTGAAGAAATTATAACTATTAGTGTAATATATCACTCACAACAATACAATAGATGACAAACCGAATAAATAGCAATAAATAACGTACAAATAAATAACGTTATAGTCAAATAACGTTATAAATAACAATTGTAGTCATCATTATCATCCTTGGCGGTCACGTCAAATCATAATTGTCATCATAATTGTTGTTTTTTGCAAAATTTTTGTATACATGTTCTGTAATCGCAATAACAATTCAAGCTTGGCTCAACTTGTTCTATTTTCAGTATAACGCTGTAAATTTCCGTAAAAATTCAATTATATGATTTTTTTTTTAATTGTATGGTCCTAATTGATTCGGATAATTAGACTTCTACTGTTATTAGCTTTTATCCTGCAACTTTGCTTGTATAATTTTTGCCTTAAGGACCAAATAAACTGCCAAATAGTAATTTAGAAATAGGTCAGTAACTATTGAAGTACCTAGTTGTGAAATGGAATAATCACGGATGTTTCTCCAATTCCATATATTTGAACATTTATTTTCATATGTGTAATAGTTACACAAGAGCAGGAATTGAATGTTGCATTTGAAGGGGTTCGCTTTTCAAGCAACTTGATTGCTAACACTCGAGTGACACAAAAAGTGATCAACTGCAAAATTAATAATCGTACTTACTATTATTATGGGGATTGCGGATTTTATGCTAGTAATTCAATTAACTTTTAGAAATCAGGGTGAAAGATCAATCATTTATCCTATTTAAATAAAAAAAACTAAAAAAAATACTTTTTATTTATATTAGAATACTGTAGTATAAAGCCACTGTTTAAAGATATAAAATAGTGTTTAACTCATTTGCAGATTAATTTAAATGTCTGTCCAGTATGTTGTAATTTGACTCGATATATCTGATGTATCCCTTGTTATTTGAGAGCAGTCATTGTATGCTCTACTTTTATTTTCCAGAACAAGCGTTTTTGTGTGACAAGTGCTCCATATCATTTGTCTCGCCCAACTTCTTAGAAGCACACAAGAAAAGATGTCGTGCTCGAATGGAGGAAACCGCAAACGAGCAGTCAACAGTGGATGAAACCATCGACTCAAACAAAACCACCACCAGATGCAAAAAGAAGTCTCGAATCCCTGCTGGAGAGCTGAAATACAAGTGCGAAACTTGTGAAAAAGGTTTTGTTCGGTTGAAAAATCTTGAGGCACACATGGCAACGCATAGTGTTGAGTTTAAGTGCGAAAAATGTCCGTATACAACAGAACATCGGAGAAACCTTATGCGCCACGTTGTAGTGCATTTTGGGGAGGATGAGAAAAAATACTCTTGTCCGTATTGTAGTTACACGGCTGGAAAAAGCAGTTACTTGAGGATACACGTGGCAAGACATTTAGATGAGAAACCACACAAGTGCACCGTGTGTTCATACGGAACAGCTGTGCTGGACACACTCAATAAACATATGGCTACACACACGGGCCAGAGAGAGTTTGCGTGTTCGCATTGCTACTATTCCGCCGCAAAGAAGTCACAGTTAGCCAAACATTTGCAGAAGTTTCACTCAGAAGAAGGGAATAACACTTGAGTAGAAAGTGTTCAATGTGGAACATTTGACAGAAAATTATTTGCTTAGCAATTAATTGAGAGTACTTTGTTATGTTGTGGAATGAAGAAAGTTGAAGTGCGAGCTTAACTTTTTGAAGGAGCAATTTTTAAGCATTTCACAACATGTGAAGGTCATAATCCTGAAACTATAGACATATCGATAGTTTCCATAAGTTTAAATTTACCGTCCCTTTAGTGAGTTATTCCTGTTATGTTAGTTTTTTTTTTACAAAAAGTTGTTTACCCTCATCACTTCTGGGAGAAGCTTGATTATTTCCAAAATGTTTGAAGAGATAAAGTCACAACCCCATAAAACCATATACTTAAAATGTTTGTCATGACGAGAAACCTTGTACAAAACTATCCATTATTTCATAAATTGCCCTTTAAGGTCGTAATTAAAAAATTTAAGGTAATTTAAGGGTTATTAAATCTAAAGGGAACTTTCCATATACATTATGTTAAAAATACCTCAGCTGTACTTATGTGTTTGTTATTCTTTCAATTTATTACCTTATTAAAACCAGGTGGGGTTATTTGTTTGTATTAACTGTATTCTGTTTTGTTTATTTCAGCTTAACAGTTGCATCGAATTTAATGAGCATTTCCCTCTGAACAGGTTGTGTATGCACTCATCTTGTAATATCGTGTTATTGTTACCATTGTTATATTGTTTGACATGGGAATGGAACTGGGCAACTGGGCGTATTTTAACCTTAATATGAATAAAGGATGAATGAAGAATGTAGTGAGATGCATTGTCTCTGAGTTTCTTTAACTATAGGACCATTTATTAAACACCCAAAGATTAGGTTTGTTCAAGGAATGGCTTTAAGCCAGGATAGTTGTAGAAATGCGAGATAGCAGCGAGGTTACAGGTAGGACATAAAGCACACAGATGACTCATAAAACACAATATTTTGTTCCCTATGGACTTATTCAACAATCAAAAATCGTCATTTGTGGACTCAATACAGTATTGTGTGTTTTGTGTCTTCTATAGCCGATTGAAGCATTCTAAGGTAACCTAGCAACCTAGCTGACAGCCATTTTATTCCAATGTAATTCAAACTCCTGGCTAGAGCAAGAGCTGTTCCTTGACCCTAAACGATTGACTATTATAACACTACTAGTTATAGTAGTTACTAGTTTTCAACATTAATAAAATTATGTGCCATTTGATAAATTCTTCATTTGAATCAGAAATATTCCCGAAAAATTAAAGTAAGCAAAATTAATTCCATTACATAAAGAACCATACCCATCACATTTATCTATCGACCGTTATAGTCAATGGTATACACACTACAGAGTTGTAGTAGTGTTACATAGTCAAGGTATAACACTACTAGTTTAAGTGTTATATAGCTAATGACTAAATCAATCTTTAAGTTACCAGAGCTAGCTGCTATCCCTTTTATTCTACAAAATTAAAATCCCAAAGAACAACGACAGCTTGGTCTAACTTAGTTCAGCAAATCGTCTACTTAGTACTTTTATCATGATCATGGCAACCTTATTTTGTTTATTAATCAAGCGCTTAAACCACTCAGCTATATGAAGCTAGCCAACTAACTTAATTGTGTTCTTCCCACTTGAAGATGGTTGGATTTGATATAAAAGAATACATTATGCTGGTGTTTTAATCAACAATGGAACATTTCTAAAATGACACTTTAAACACATAATTATCTTTTATAATTAAAAATATACTCTTAACACAGAATCCTGCTGAGCTATCATCCTCCCCCCAAATACAGGTTTTGTTGGTCATTTGAAAGGTTTTAAGGAATTTATTCACTCAAATTGTGAAAAAATAATATTAATAAAATTATGTGCCATTTGATAAATTCTTCATTTGAATCAGGAATATTCCCAGAAAAATTAAAGTAAGCAAAATTAATTCCATTACATAAAGAACCACCCATCACATTTATCTATCGACCGTTATCTATATTTCCGTCCATTTCCAAAGTATAGGAAATTTGAAATTCCCCCGCCGCAACAAACCTGCCTAATAAGTGAATTTCCATTTAGATTTTAAATTAAATCTTTTTAAATATAAGATTAGGTTTAGCGAGTACCTACGTAAAGTATTGTGATAATGTGAGTACCTTACCAAGAAGTGTTGAGAACTAGCTTTAATTCTTATGGCTACGGCTACACTTGACACAACCTATCCGGCATCGCTGGTCTTAAGTGATCAAAGATCGTGATGGTGACGAAGGAGCTATGTAAGCGACCAGCGACCACGGGCGAAAAATAAACGAGACCAGAGCGTTTTTTTGGTCTTGGCTAGTCACAGAAAACATACTACTATAACCGTGGTTATAGTAGTATGTTTTCTGTGCTATAGTACAGGGAGTTGAATGTGGCCATGCTACAGATGTACGCTCCTTACATTATCTTTTATCCCTATATTATCTTACCCACCAATCTAATATCCGTGATTTCACCTCATGATTATTTCTTCGTACCAACGTTTCCAATCCCTAAAAGAAACGTGTTGTCACAATTGTTGCTCATATTTTTAACTAGTTTCTTATTTTAGTTAGTACTTATATATTTTCTGAGAAAGTGAGAAATAAGAGATTTTAAAAATTCGTTTTTATATAATGCACCGAGGAAAAGGTGTCAGTCTGAGGGAAATTTCAAGAACTAAGGTGGTAGCCACATGCGTTGGTATCATTGTAAATTGTTTTAGTTTCTGGTTTCTGTCATTCCATTCTGTCCTGACTGACTCTGATTCTGGTTCTGGTTTATGTTTTGTCGTCCGTCAGTCTATAGAGATGTGCCAAGCAGTTACTTGGGCGAAACAGCTGCAGCTAGTTCCAAGGTCGACGTGGAACTCGTTCCAAAAGCAGTTCCAGCTGCAGCTGGTTTTGCTCGCTGCAGCTGGTTTTCCCGCTGCAGCGGAGCTATGGCTGTAGTGAGTGGAACGAGGCAAAAGGGCGGATGAACAAAATCTCAGTTTATTACCATAATTTGAGATGGATTAGTTTAAGCTGTTCTTGAATTAGAATATTGTTTTAAATTATGCAAAATAGCGGCTGTAAAGAAATCAATATCGTGTTTTGGAAATGTTGTACAAGTAATTAATTATTTTAGTTTGTCTATCTAGGGTTTAAAAATAATACGTGACAAGGCCGGTATAAATTATTTTAGAGGTTCTTCATATTATGCATTTATTCATATTATACATTTTTTTATTGTTAAAATAATATTATTCAAACACGTCTTACAAAGTTAATAGCGAAAAAATCCTGAATTAAGTTAAACACAAACAATTATTACGGGACTGATTACTGAGGAAGAGATAATTAAATTTGTATTTGATCACGACTTAACTGGGACTGATGTACTTTTATTTAATTCCTGCCTGAAAAAAAAACAGAAAATGATTAATTTCTTTTAAGGCATGTCAACCCATGTCAACCATATCGGCTAATCAATCCTTTGTTTACAATAGACCAAATAAGTCAAAACGCATCAAAATGCACAGGCTAGAACTAAATGTAGTGAGAGTATTAATAAACCAGCTGCAGCTGTTTTGTTGTAACTGTATGTGTTTTACAAATCCAGTTACTCCGGAACTTATCTTTAAAAATTTACAAAAAGGCTGCAGCTGTTTGTGCGGAACTACATTCAAATCGTTCCACCGAGCTGCAGCTGAAAAAGTAGTTCCAGTGGAACTGGAACTGGATTGTGGTTCCGCTTGGAACGGTGGAACGAGTTCCACTCTCGGAACGGTGGATAAATGTAGTTCCAGCTGCAGCGTCACATCTCTAGTCAGTCAGTTGTCAAGCAGGTTTATTTAACCTCAAACCATAGCTAGAAAATGTAAGTACAGTAGCGTAAAATACTCATTTAATTTTACACTTCCTCAAAAAAGGACTTGACAAAATGAAAAACCACATGGATGTTAAAATACAACTAACTTAAGTTATCCAGTCAAGTATTGTATTGTATAGATGCTGAAAGCTGCAACCACTGTCGATCTAAGACAAGCCTAAATTTTCCACACAGATGTTTTGATCCCAAGAACAATTTTTAACAATTTAGACCTAATAGATCTTATTCGTTGGATTGGCTGCTCTCTGATGTCTTAGAGAAGTAGTTTTATATTGGGCTGCACTTTACTTTAGATCCTACACTAATTTGAATGAAAATATCGATTATTCGATTGTTTCATTTGATATATCGATCAATATTTTCATTCGAATGAGTGTAGGACCTAAAGTAAAGTGCAGCCTTTTTAAACAACCTTCATTGGATTTAACTAGTAGGCCTACAAAAGTATTCTGCTTGATATTACTACTTAACACGTTTGCTACAGATCGCCACATATTTGCGACGCTGCGGTCATTGACACGGCTCAAGGCCTAATATCACACATACCCGGTGTCACTTGGCTAACAGTACACACAGACCGCGGGTCAGTGATACAGCAAAGTAAAAATCAGTTTGACCAACTATCATATGACGTCATAATCATATCCACAGACCATTAATACCAAATTTCATCTAAATCGGATTATTTTTGCTCGAGTTATAGTGCTAACACACACATAGGCCTCTTTCTCTCTCTCTATTTTATGTAAATGAATTTGAACGGAGGGTGTTTTTGACCTCTAGATACCACAATACCAAAAAGTAAATTAGTCCCGGGTCCAGGTCTTACTATGAGTACCACGGTAATAGCTTATTCCCTATATGGGAAATTTGCTAAAATGTGACTGACTGACAACATATCAGCTCTATACTTAGCTTATACATTTTTGTGTACATGTCATGAAGAAAACTCCTTGTCCTTCTCACACCAAAGTCCAAGACACCAAGACACTGATCACTAGGCTAGAAACACACCACTTTTGTATCCTGTGATTGACTATTGGTCTGTGAAGTAGACATCCCATCTATATGGACCAACTGTCACCAATTTTTTTATTAGCCTAGAGAACATAGTTGTGTGAGGCAGAGAATGCACTAGTGTCTAAAATTCTATTTTCTACCTTATTTTTTTGTTGCTAACCAAGTGATTGTAGCAAACAAATTGTTCCTAGTTAATTTATTGGATGGTTTAAAAAAAAAACAGTTCTTTATATCTAAAAGCATATACCATATCCTGTTAATTATTAACTAGGCTATTTTTTAGGCATTTTACGAATTAGTAAAGACAGCTGCCTACATAAGTATGCCATAAAAGACATGAAACAAAATAAACTAAAAAATTACAATGATAAATAAACCATAAAACCACCTAGTATAGGTCGTCTATCTATATAAATTGTAAAAATGGCGATACCTACTGTTACAAATAAAATAAAATAGTTAAATGTTGTTGAAGAGTTAAAGCTGCTTTTAAGAATGCATGTTGTTGGCCTTACTAATACAGAATTGTAAATGATTGAACCAAGATTTTTCAGAGTCGCAGGGGATGAGGAGTGAGGTGGAAGATGCTTTGTTCCCGTCGTCTCTCGACAATCCCTCTCACCGTTCTCACAGCCATCCTTGTCATGATAATATTCATTACAAAGCAAGTTAAGGATCTGTATGAAAGAAACCAAAAGTTCCATCGCATGGAGAACTACAATCAATTTGTAAGTTGAACCCTACTAAAGCAGGGTGCGGAATTGGAGACCGCTCTTTTCTTGTCTTAGGTAATTTAATGGTACAGGTTTCCTAGAAGTGGAGCGGACTGCCACTGGACGACCGTGTTACGCTTCCGCACCTAGGAAAACTCAGCTTTAATTTAGGTTTATTTACATATTAAGTTAATTCTGATGGAATATAGAGGCCTATTAAATTTCTAGTTGGGACAGTGTTATTGAAATGATTTTTACCCACCAAAAGGAGAGCAACAAATGAAGTGTAGTGTTTGACTGTGTAGTTTATTGTATAAACTATGTAAATTTGTTAAGTAAAAAAAATTCTATGACAGAATAAGATCATGCTAAGTTACGAAAAGCTAACACCCACATCCCCTACCATGTTACCCCGCCTTTGGTTTCACTACCATCTTTCAAAGTTTTAGGACAAGTATACTATTTAATTGGTAGTTGATCTCTGAAAATTCTATATAGTGGTTTAAATTACCTTGTTACTGTCAAAACGATCCTTTGTAGTTAGTAGACTACAGCTGTTTCGTGCTACGAATGGAGCACATCATCAGGTCAGAAGAATGTCAAGTAGTCTTCATATTCCTCGCAGTGGAGTTCGTCATGAAAGTTTAATAATAAATAGAGAACAAAACACATAACACACGGAAACACGAAACATTTAATATTGGTCGACCAGACGACGGTAACAACACACGTGATACGGCGCCGGTTGAGGGTGAGTCGCGACTGTCACGTGCCGTGGGCGTTGACCCCTACTCCTACTCCACTGTTAACCTTATCTCGTTCATATGTTTTCTGTTTATTGTGTATATGAATAGCGGTGTTGTAGATGATGTTTGATTCGAATGATAATTGTTCATTTAATATATTCTGTGGTTGTTCTTTTGACGCCTTGTAGATTTCAAACTCCTCAACTGTATCCATGTATCGTCCTTTATTGCAGAGTTGTACTATTTCTAAATTATTGTCAATATTTGTGTAATTATGGTTGGATGAAATTAAGTGGTTTGCATACGCTGATTTGGAGTTTTTCTTTGGCATATGTTCCTTAAACCTGATGGAAAAAGATCTTGATGTTTGGCCTATGTAAAAATTGGGACAATCGTCACATTTTAGTTTGTAAATTCCTGTTTTGTCCATTGTATTAGTTCTAGACGGTTGTCGTTCTTTGACGATGGTAGACAGTTTATTGTTAGTTTTGAAAGATATATTTCAAAGGCGGTGAATTTATTTATTTTTTGGTACAGAATTACAAAAATCTTCAATTTACGAATAATTGGAATTGCTGCATCGTCCATTTAGTTATTTAATTTTAGTTTTTTTATCTTTTTCATTTTAGTAATTTTTATTTTTCTAAAACTGAATAGGCTTACGTTGATTATACAATTATAACCTGAGTCCACTCCACGCTCAACCCTGGTTTCAGGGCTTCGTGGGTGGATTTTTAGTGTCAATGTTTCTGGTATTACAAAAATAAAGTTCCTTAACGGACGACGAGTATTTCAATCAATCGTTTTCTGCTTTTTTTACCAGTATACTAGTCCCGTGCTGTCAGAGGGAGGGGAATCATGACGGTGGAACATCTAATGGAATATTGTTTTACAGATTAGCGAGGTGTCTTCATCAATGACATCGCTAGAGTCGTCTGTAAACAAAACTTCAAACACCCTTCATCAGCTGAGCGACGTGTTGCAAAGGCATCACAACAGATGACACATGGGTGAGTTATATAAGACCAGATGTAATGAAATTACACTCAAGGGTAGATCATTAATCTGATTAACGTAACATAGGTAAGACATTTTAAGAACTATCCATGTTCTTAAAATTCCCCCTGGCTGCACCTGTGAACCTAAGGTTTTAAGGTTTTCCTTTTGAAATAATTTGATTTGTTTTCATGACAGCAAAACAATTTGTGTACTCGTGGTTTTTATCTTTACTTTTTAGCGAATTTTCCTTTATAAGAAGCTGTTACTGTAGGTGGCATGACCAGTAGGTGACCTAGACCCGGGACCGATTTGCTTTTTCATTTTGATGTTCCCAGCAAATCTTGGTACTCGTTAACCATAATGTCATCTAATAAGTGAAAATAAAATCAGGCAATTAATTGGAAACCCACTTAGTCTACAGGTTTGCTAACACTGCTAAGCTCTAAACCAAACAAAAAATCAGCGATAAAAATAAAAAAGAGTACATAACTGAACTTTAGTAATCTCTCAGCAACTACCTCATTTCAACATGACTAATCATCCAAAAAATTAACCCAATCTATATAGGTTTTCAATAAACTTCATTGACTTTACTTTATTTTCAAAAATTTTCCCTGACCTGGCCTTTTTTAAAAACCTTCCCTGACCCTATTCTTGTTTCCCTGACTTTCCAAGTCTGTGGAACCTCTGTTTTATTAGAAATAACAAAACAAAAATTGAGTAAGATATCTGTATTATTGGTGCTTTTTTCATGATTAATGTACAATGTAGGGTATGTGACATGTGTACATTCGAATAATGAATTGATTGATTGAACCAAGTTTAGTTATAATTAGTGATTTAATTGCTGACTTAAAGAAAATAATCAAATTGAGTTAATGAGTTTAATTTCTTTTCAGATTTGTCTCTAGCATCTTCTCTCCATATAGCTGTTCACCAAATCGTTTAACGACTTTGTACTCCTAACAGGTCTAAAATTGATAATGTTTTTGTTATTGTCTAAAATGTCAATTTTTCACTTGTAGGCTATTTGAATAATCTAAATGTTTGTAATTTGGTACTTGAGTATTAGATGGAAAAACTTGTTTGTTATTGAGCCAGTAGAAATAGATTTATGAAATCAAAGTAAATATTTATACCTGTTGTAGTTTTCTAGTTTATCTGTTTTATGTGTAGACAAGATGTAACCTTGTAGTATTAATGTTGTTCCTAACTTATAAAGACAAAATGTTAAGTTTTAATCAAATTGTGAAATATAACCATGATTGTTTGATTATAAGTAGTAATCTCAAAATATTTCTTTATTGTCTATCTTTTCTCTTTATGGTTACAAGCAATTAAAATATTTTAGTGTCCCCAATTTTGTTTTTTATCACTATGCAATGTCCTGAAATGGGTTTATCATCAATAGTGTTAAAAAATATATATTTAAGGGAAGGAAGCAAAGAAAAATAGGTAGAAGGTTACATTTTAGCAAGGGCTTGAATACTTGGACTGTGCATTCGTTAATTCTGATCCTGTTTTGAATGAACAGAATGACATTTTTTTACAATCTTTTTTCAGAATTAACTCCACCCATTGTTTTCGATGATCAGATCGGTGAATAGACCATAGGACACAATCTAATAAATAATTCCATTTTATTTCTCAATAATAATAGGGGTCTGTGGACCAGACTTGACCTTCGGGCCTCAGACCAAAACCAGGTTGGGTAAAATTTGGCTTGCTCAGGAAAGAATGGATTTTTAGATATACAATTGTTGTACCTTACTATAATCGGGTTAAACGACTACTGCAATATAGTGAACACAGAACAAAATTAAAAATGAACATAATTGTCTTTGGTCATGGTGTGCCTCTCACCTAAGTTCATGGTGAAATAGTAAAAATCATTTGTGGTCGTAGAAACATTTTCTACGTATTCTGCGAGCACGACGAATTCGTGAACATCTTCCGTGTTTTCACTTCTCAGGGTTATTATATTCCTTTCCTGTGGTCGTGACGAAATCGTCGACTACTTAGATTGTGGACTAATTGTTGTAACCATCCCCTACGTTCACAACGAAATAGTGAATTTGGATAACTTCTGTCATTGCATGGACATAAATATTGCCTCCTGTGATTGAGACAAAATCATAAGTCCTAAACAGCAAGATGGTGAAATCATGCACCATCACGGAGACTACCTTCTCTAACAATTACAGTAAAATTGTCAATATCTTCTGCGTTTGCTGGAACATCATCTTTGTATTCCACAGTAGTGGCGAAATGATGAACGTCTCGGAGAAATTGTGAACTTCCTTGGCAGTCGAGGAAACTTGATAATTATTACTGCAAAGTCAAGATTTTCGATTGTGCAATATTTTGCAGAAGCTTTCAGCGACCGTGAGAATAAAAGTTCGGCTCATAAATTGAACCCCTTAACACTAACAAATTATGGATGAAATTCATGTGCCTAGAAGAAAAAATTCTTTCGAGGCCCCAAGCAACTGCTATGTCCATTGTTGGGGAAAGATGGCCCTGAGCACTGGGATGAGTCAGAAATGTTGTGTTGGTGGAAGATATTAACATTTTTATGTGTTGTACCAGGAAAACTAAACTTAGTATTACTGTAACAAGTACCGGTAACTAAACAACTTTAAATGAGGTGTCACTTGACGGGGCTTTACATTTAAAATTTGTGAGTTGCCCCCTAAATGTCCATTTTTTGGTTTTCGGACAAAATTGGGATACCTTCAAAAAATGTACTTTTATGCCATAGAGATGTGCAAAGTTTGTTTTCCTGATACAACCCATAAGCTAATAGGGAGGTTCCATATCAAAGAGTAAGGTTGGTAAAGACCATCCCTGTATTGGTAGAAAATAATATATAGCATTTTTAACAACATGTGATTTTTATTTGATAAGTTCGTTCTATTAAAAAAAACCATACAGTAATTTTTACAATAGTAGAGTAAAAACCTGGATAAAACAATAACATTTTTGGTTCTATCCGTCGGAGAAAGTACCAAAACCATTAGAAGAAAGGGTGAATGGGGAAGATACAAAAATAATAATCTTTCCTTAAAAATGTTTCCCCTCAAAATTGGGGAGTTAATGAACACATCAACTACATTAGAAAATCTTTTGGTCCAAAATCTTGATTGGTTAGGTATTGTACTGGTTATAATGTGAAAAATAACTATACAAGTTTAAATGAGTTTTAACAAAAGTAAGTGGCAAAACTATGGGTAAGCACCAGTTAATTGGAATTATGGTAAACAATTTTGATGGGGATTATTGTAAACATAGAGGCTACACCTAAATCCAATCAATAGTTGATCTTTCAAAGAACTCATTTAATTTAGGTCACAAATATTATCATTTCTAAATCTTAAAGACATTTAATGCCTTATGGATCAGTAAAATCATAATTAATTAAGGTTAAATATGTTATTGTTAGAATTGTGTTGAAAACCTGCTTCACAACACCTTAATATTATTTCTACAGTATATTCATATGAAACTTTTTTGTATGAATAGTTATGTTTGTATAGTTTTTGCCAGAACATATATTTTTAATGGATAACTAGATAACTTTATGTTTTGTCAAAAGTAAGAAGTTTTTCTGATGTCAGTAAAATACACTACAAAATATTACTCAGGATAGTGTAATTAGGTCCGACTTCTAATATGGAAAAGAGGTTTTGTAATTAAAATGGTCTGTGTTCTTTCACTGTAGAAAACATATAAAAATATCGCCTCAACCAGACTTGGGTTTAAGTGTATACCTGGCATAATTCTTTCAATTTTTCAAACAGATCCAATGTAATAACTTACTTTATAAAGTAGAAAATCTTGTAGAAAACATACTTTGTAGTGATCCTGTGTTTTCACTTACAACAAACACCTGTTTTAGACAAAACCAAAGACTTTGGACCAAAACTATAGATGAGTTATCGTACAATATTATTTTTATAACTTAACATTATATTATGTACAAGAAAATAACAATGATTAATAAATATGTTTCTAATCAGTTATACAAAAAGAAGTGTAGCAACTAAATTCAAAGATCTAAAAGAACTAGTGAAACAATAAGTGTTTATGTTAATCCAAAAACAGGTACGACCACTCAATTAATTGATTATGTAGTAACAAAAATAATATATTATGTAAAAATGGTAATTGTTTATATTATTCAGGATAAAAAACTAGTGCAGTGAAAATAACAAGATAAACTATATCATATGTACATCGTAGTTATAGTCAATTGTGTAAAAATATACTTTTCTTTCCTTATAAAATGAAATGTAAATTTACACATTTTATACATTCACTAAAATCAGCTGCTAAGAGAATGATTCAACAGCTGTTTTATAAAAACAAATTCTCCGTAATTAACTTAGAGGGTCCTAATATTGGAAGACATAGTCTTGCTACACTTCCGGAGATAAAATAATATTACTTTCCTAAATAGTCATAATAGAAAGCTAAATCGGTGCTAGAAGCACTCTACCTACTATTTACAGATAAACTTTATTATTTACAAGCAACAATTCAAAAAACAGCTGATCCAAAAAATGCTATTTTGTAAATTGCTTACAGCTGACTTATCAGTTGCTTAATTGACAGAAAACCTAATCTATAAAGATGAAAAAAGTCATAAAAATAATATTAAAATACATCATAGCTAATTGAACTGCCAATCATTCAACTTTAAAATGTGATTAACATAAATAAACATGCATTACACCAAGACTTATTACTCTTTTATCATATTCCAGCCTTTGTTTTATCTAAGGCCATTAAAATTTATTGCTCTAAACAAAACTTAGGGTAAAATTAAAAACCAACAAATGTTTAAATTCATTGTACAACTCAATTAAGAACTAAGAATGACAATATTAATTGTCTAACAAATTGTTAAAAGGCAAGAAACAAATGTAGAAACATTTGTGCGTTAGAAGTCAGCTGAGAATAAAACTTGCGTTAACAACTAAAACAATAAAAAAACAACACGATAAACTTCTGTTACGTAATAAAGCATTTAGTAATGGGTGAAGACCCATTCAAACAAAATTATGATATAAATATATCAATATTTACACAAATAAAAACTAGAATCGATTATGCAGGGACGTGCTTAAACAAAGCAGTTTTGTTAAAAACCCGTCTTATTTTACATGTTAAAAAATGTATTTTCTATTTACATTTGGTTATCTACACCATTATCAACTGAACATGACGTACGCACCTTAAAAAAGACACAATCAGTTTTTCTTTTGTCTTTTGGAAAAGAAATCTGCAATACACTTTTTTCTCTATGGCCCTTACTGATTTAAATGGATTATCATTTTCAGTTAAATCTTATATACAGTTATCATGCATTACAATATATTTTTTTTACTTATAAATCTCAGTATAGTTTTGGAAAATTTCAGAACCTAAAATGAAAAATATGAGAATTATCTCTTTGAAAAAATCAGTTGGATTTGCAGACCTTTGGTTTTAGTAATTTTTGTTAGCACCAACATTGGAAATTGTCTAAATCGACAAGAAGTAGAGTTTTGCAGTCATGACGAAAACAATTCAGTTTATAAACACTAGTATTAAACAGTCCAGAGCCACTTTTAGTAGTTTTGAAGATGCACAGCAGATTGATTCAATCGTATGCTGCTTTGAGTGTTTAATAGTGGTACAACTGATGATCAACATTTCCTGGGTTCGATGTCAAAATAAGCGAAAGGTGGATAGTTCGTCAGTTCAGTAGAGGTAGTGCAGACGACACTTTGGCAGACATTACCTCACAGCTTGTGGCAAACCGGCTGTAAAAATAGATAGATTACTTTGGCATCTATGACTGTTCATTAGGATTAACAGCTAAAATGAAGTCCCTGCAATTTTTTATTTAGATGAAATCATAATATCTTTCAACTTAACATAATAGGCTATTTATTCTGTAAATATTTGTAGGACGATAGTAACACTATTGTAAGCTGAATCGAACTGTGAAAGGGCTCGTGTTGTTGGGACTAGTGTGTGCAACTATCTTGTAGCCGTAGGAAATACATTTTGTTTATTGCTTTCCGAAAATTGACCGGATAAACCAAGGACTGGTAAAACCAAGGTAGATATTAGGGGTTCTACTGTGTATTCACATACACCTACTTAATCCTACAGGTTCTCTAAGTTTCAGATTTGGTTCAATAGTAACCTGTATGATTGATTGGTTGGAATCAACTGGTCAAAGATCCTGTGTCTTAAATTACATTTAAATGATCAAATTAGTGTCTTTCCATTTACTTAGTAACCCCGTTATAAAATCAGTGACAGTTTCATTACTATAGCGGTCAAGTTGAGCTTATAACAATGGTAAATGAGGGAATTTAGAGTTTTAACAGATTTATACACGCAGAATTTATGCAATAATTTTAAATGCAGAACCAACCAATAACTTAAGATTTTTTGTGTATGTTTTTTTAAGCAACCACGTGTTTGTAAATCTAGAAAATTTATCCATAGAAAAAGTGGTTAAGTATTCAACATAAAAATACAATGAATTCCTAGATAACGTAAACTAATGTTCAATAAATATGGAGGTGAAAATTACACCCAATGAAGTTCACAATAGAATTACTGGTAACGGTAACTACAAGAAAGCAAAATGTCCCTACTCACTCAATGTTGCTGGTGGTGCACCAGCGCGATGGGGTGTGACTCCGTAAGTGTGACGGAATGTGACTCGGCAGCCGGCAACACGACGGTGTTGTCATCTTCGTCCTGCGTCGCGCCCATCACATTTGTCACTTGGATCATTGACTCATGGCTCACTCTACCATCGACCTGCAGACAATAAATGCCTTCAAATAACTCCATTAATAGAATAAGAGCTGAACAACATTTTTTTCTATGAAATAAGCTGCAAAGTTCAGAAAAAATAAGACTTTGTATGCAATAAGCTGCAAGTTCTGAAAAATAAGACTTACAAAACAATTACTAGACTTAACTTGTACTACTGTTTAGAAATCTGGAACATAAACCAGTAGAAAAGATCTCGTTATTGAAAACAAGGCCCTTAAAAAGATCTTTGGTCCTTTCAAAATGGGAGTAGAGAATCAAACCTTTGATTTTTGATAGAACGAGAGGAACATTTTAATCATCCCCATGTAAAAATTATAGTCTGTGTTTGAAATCAAAATACGTGTAGTTGAATTAAGACTCCGACAGATTGCGCTGACGCTTAATTACTAATTTCTATCGAACATGCAGACTTTTTGACCGAGTCAAACTGATAGAACCACTTATTTTGAGTTATGGCACCTTTTATCTTTAACTATCTCAGTAACAAAGACTATTGTAAAAGTAGAATTTTAGATACTAGCACATTCCTTGACTGCCTCTTTCATCTATTTTTTCGTAATAAAAAAATTGGCAAGGTATGGTGAATTTTATGGGACTACTCTAACTATAGAGTCAATTATTAGGAGCCACACTAGGCGGAAGTGGATTTTTTACCTGCTGCAGTTCATCCTTGACCCGTTTGGCCAGATGACTGCGTGCATGTTTCCTCAGATGGTCCCTCCTGTAGAAGCCCTTCCCACACTCTGGACAAACCTCCGTCTTCTCTCCGGAGTGGATTACAAAGTGCAGGTTCAGGTGTTCTTTCCGCTTAAAGCCTGCAACAAACAATTCAGTTTTAGCAACTGTTTGGATTACAGTAGATAGAGTTAGGCAAAGTAAAACTTCTTTTGCAAATAAGGATGACTGAAATCAGGAACTGAAGTATGTTTAGATTCATCTTCAAACAATGAATGAGCCTAAAAATTTATCTATCTGAGCTTAAAAAAATGCTTTATAGAATTTTTGAACCTTGAAATCTTTATATATGCTTAATGGGTAATAGTGAAACAAAGTCTTAGCTTGAGTTTCTTACTTGATGATCAATCAATCTTTAAGCCTAGGATTGGCTTGGCTCAAAAGTCAAGTCCCATACACTTCTTATTTTAGACAAGATAGCTAAGCTTGATCCCTATAGAAAGAAAAACTCCTTTTTCAGTCACATGAATTTCCCTTAAAAAATTTCAAGAAATAACCTTGACAAAGCATATCCCGAGACGTGGGACATGTTCATGATGGCGCCATGACCATGAGATAAACTAACCACAAATAACTACAACATGCAACTAGTTTTAGTGCCTAAATTAAAAGATTACAGACTGTTCAAGGACCTAGATTTTCATCTAATGTCTTTAAGAAAAGAAAGTCAAACATGAAACTTTTTAAAAGTGTAATCATAACCTAACCAGCCTAAGCTCTATCTGGTTATCTTCCAGTACAATGGTTGGGTCCATAAATTTCTTGAAACTTTTTGGAGAAAAATATTCCAGATCATCGGATTGGGATTATATTTGATTCGACATTTTTGAGACAGGATTTGAATTTATCGTCACCGATTGTGCCACGTCACTAGTGACGCTGAGGTCGTCCTTAGACGAGGATTGCTTCTCTGTAATTGCGAGAGATGTTCACCATGATTCCCCGAACACGGAACGTGTTGACAATAGCACTGTGACCACAAAACATGTTGACGATGGTGCCATGACTACGAGACAAGTCTACAATGGCACCGTGGCCGTAGGATATGTTCAGCCGATTTTGACATTGTTATGTTAGTACCTACAAAATGTAAGCCTATGGATACAGCTAAATGGCTTTTTTATTGATAACCATATCAGGCTTTAAAACTTTTCAGTTTAAAAAAATGCAGAGATAGTCCGTTATAAATACCTCTTTGGGTTTAGCTAAGGGTAGACTGATGTCGCACAGTTAAATTGCCCCGAATATAAAATTTTGAAGTTATGTGTTTTTGTTATCCCTGTGTATTTTGGGTTTTAAACCCATTCCTATTGGGATCATTGATATATGCATAATATTAACACAAGATTTAAAATCAATTCTTTTTGCATTGAGAAAAGAATCCCGTCTTGTCCAATCCTGAACTAAAAATTCAATCCTGTCAATCCCTGCCTTCCAGGAGTGTGATTTATGAGAATGCAAAACATTACCTTTACAGCATACACTACAGATGTACGGCCTCTCTGGATTGTGACCCAACTTGTGCCTTTCTAAATGTTCCTTTCGTTTCAGTCCTGCTCCACAAATGTCACAAATAAATCTGAAACACAAAAAGTCAAAGTAAACTATCTTCTCCATCACACAATTAATGCTAATGTAAAAATATAAGAAATATAGGAATTTGCTAGATATACAAATTGTGCACAATTTTCAAAGTCAAAAAGTAAACTTGCTTTACCTTAAATTTATAAGGGTGCTGGCCCAAATCCAGACTAAGATGTCATTATGTTATTGAGCTAAATATTAATGATGCTATTTAACAATAGGTTGACATTAAAATATGGTGATGGACTATTATTCCTCACAATGAAATGTTAGAAAATGGCAATGAAAATAAAGAGTCCAAAAAACTTTGAGACGTGTTTATAAATAGCTTTTTATTGATAACCAAACTGCTAAAAAGATGTCAACCTTATTTTAACAACAACTCTTAAACAAAATGGATTCTCCTCTACAGGGGACTCGGTAAAATTATGCTTTCTTTTAAAATCAGTCTCCATAAGTGTACAAACCTACACCTACCTATTGGTCTTGAAATAATACATTTTAAAACAAATTTGAGACGATCTTTACAATAAATAATAAAAATAATAAGGATACCAGTAGTTAGTTAATTTCCCAAAAAGCCCAAAAGTTCAAATCAAAGTACCTAATTAGGTAAATACACTAAATACCTACATTTTGTCACTATCAGCCAATCTCACTGTAACCAATATTTCTTATTATCCGTTGCAATTATACTAAACATGCTACAAAACAAGAAGAAATTGTTCTTAGACTCGTAGCATAACTCCTATGATAAAATAAATTTAAAACCTCAACTTTTTAACTCGTTCAGTAGTAAATACTTGTTCTACTTAAATATATGAAAAAAATCAGCCCTATATTATTTACATCACATCTCCCCCTATCCCTTCTTCCTGTGTTTACCTGCGCTCGATCTTGTGTGCCACTAGATGCTGTTCTAACAGTTCCTTGTCTGGGTAGGCCATGTTGCACTCGGGACAGCAGAAAAGAGTCGTTCCGTCGAGAGCCGTCGCAATGTGTACCTGACCTGGTCTTGGTCGCCGTGGCTTTGGCGCTTTCTTCTTGTACTTCTTCTTTTTCTTTGGAGCCGAACCGCCCTCCTGCGACAGTCAAAGACAGGTCAACTTGTACAAAATGTGAAAGAGGAAAGAAGAGTTTGAGGTTAGAATGGATTTTTGTTAGTTGGGTTAGCAGTTTTCAAACCTTAGGAAAACTATTGTGTAATGTTATACTTTGTTAAATTATTTGCAAAAAAGGTTATATACTAAAATATTTACAGATAAATAAAGGAAATTGACAGGAAAGCAGGCTTACCTTTAAATAAGTCCATAGAGACACATAAAACATCACAAAATTAAAAGTAGAAATTTTCGTGGTCACTGACCACTTTTTCAACCACTGGAGATTGGAGAAAAAAATTAATTCCCTTAATAATTCCTGGCAAATGCCCTATCTTTTTATAAGATACAGATAAATAAAAGTATACATCGTTAAAACAACTCTATAGCTTACAAGCTATGGAAAGTAGTACTGTAGTGAATACTCAGGATATGTAAGTTATTAAAATCATTATTCCTCTTTTTACTTGGCGAAAGTTTAAAACAAGTTTAAGTTTTTTAATTAGAGATAAAATCAACTTGTCAAAAGGCTAAGGTCTTTTTGTCAGTAAAGAAAATACCAAGTTTAATTAACTTAAATTTTATTTTCTAAAAGGTAAAATTAATATATAAAATGAAAATTCGCTGAATATTGAGTCTGAAACACTTCACTTAAATGTTACTACTCACTTGGTTCCTCTGTGAAAGCAAAAACAAAACAAACCGTTATTTACATACCCAAAACAGGTTACAAAGATTGATTTAAATACCTCAATTAACTCGTTGCATAAACGTAGGTTTACACATTTGTACCATATTTAATCAAAATCGGATAATTTTTGCTTGTGTTATCACGCTAACAGACACACTCACATATATATTAATATACAGTGTGGTAAAAAAGTCCCTGGACAGTTAAATATTAAAAGAAATAATGCAGATAGAGCTACAATACTTGGTACAAAGTTACAGGGCATAAAACTATATTTTAACACATATTCAGTGATCCAATAACTCTTCAGGGGGACGGCCCACAAGGAGTCGGAAGAAAATCTTAAATGAAAGCATAGGTCAATATGCACATCAAATTAAAGGTCTTCTTTAGTAGAATACAATGCCGCAAACCGCACTTCAAAAGGTTGATCCTGCGCAAAATGGCAGATGTTCAAAGATTTCTTGAATCCGCCATTTTGAATCTTTGAACGACTGCCATTTTTTACTCAGGCATTCTTTTGAGCTTGAATTTACGGCATCGTAATCTACTAGTGAAGACCTTTAATTTGATGTGCATATCGACCTATGCTTACGTTAACAATTTTCTTCCGATTCCTAGGGCTGTGCGCCCTGAGGATAAAGCATATAATAGCAATGTAAATTAAATGAATCTTTGAACAACTGTCATTTTGTGCAGGGTCAACTAGTAGATTACGATGCCGTAAATTCAAGCTCAAAAGAATGCCTGAGTAAAAAATGGCAGTCGTTCAAAGATTCAAAATGGCGGATTCAAGAAATCTTTGAACATCTGCCATTTTGCGCAGGATCAACCTTTTGAAGTGCGGTTTGCGGCATTGTATTCTACTAAAGAAGACCTTTAATTTGATGTGCATATTGACCTATGCTTCCATTTAAGATTTTCTTCCGACTCCTTGTGGGCCGTCCCCCTGAAGAGTTATTGGATCACTGAATATGTGTTAAAATAGAGTTTTATGCCCTGTAACTTTGTATTAATTATTGTAGCTCTATCTGCATTATTTTTTTAAATATTTAACTGTCCAGGGACTTTTTTACCACCCTGTATATACTGTATATACAAATCTGAACGATTTAGTTTTTGGACTCTGGGGACCTCAAAACGAAATAGTAAATCGGTCATGGGCCCAGGTCTTACCATGAAACCTACGGTAATAGCTTATTCCCTATATGGGAAATTCGTTAAAGGGATGTTACAGATGATCTTTTTTATATGGAAGACATTTTTACAAGAACATATGAAAACTAAGGACCATAAAAAATCAAATGCTTAAGTTAAATTAACCAGTATACAACTTAAATAAAGGGGCCTTCTAGGAATTTCGAGACACCTTGTATAAGCACAGTAGAGTGAGTTTTACTCACAGGATTGTTGGGGTCGGCTTGCTCTTCCCCTGCGACAGTCTGCTGCATATCTACTGTAGCCTCTTCACTCTCATTGGCCGTGCTCAGCGGACTGCTTTCGATGGCCTGCAACAACGGAAACAATCAGACCAGAGACAGAGATATGGCGAGACAGCACAGAGGGCTGTCTCCTGTCACAGCCAATCTGAGAGCAACATTGATTTCCTTTCTTCATCCACTACATCCCTGGATGGTGTCCACCTCTATTGGAATAGTCACATTAACATATTCAAAAACTTTGTGAAAGAAAATAGATGCTGCCAAGTACAAACCATTTTCTGTGATTAAGTGTCTCCAGAAAGAAGATAAATTCCTGTTTATTACTGTTGCCACATATTCGAAAACACATGTGTGCAGAAAAGTGTTTCGACATAGAAAATGGGCTCTAGCTTTTAGAGTTTGCAAAATTCTGTTCAAATTAGCACAACAGGAAGGCGTGTTCATTGGTATCGGAATGTAAGGAAACTTTGCTTGCTGATCAGCGTGTGTCAGACTTCCAGGGCTGCATAGTCCTTGATAGACTTATAGAGATGTACTAGGATTGATCAGTAATCTCCCTTATTTAGTTACACTATGATCAATTTTTTGCGTTAAATTTCCTTTACCACGGTCACAAATGAGACTAAGCAACAGCAGTTGGCCCACGCCATGGAAATCATTATGTTTAAGACGACTTCCGAACTTCCTCCACCCCTTAAACACATTTTCTAGGTCTAAAAAAAATATTTTCTTGACATCTTTCAACTGGCAATGGACTGCAATAGCTATTAACAACCACTGAAATAAAATCACAGAACACAATTTATACTTGGCAGGAGTGTAAATTTTCTTTCAAGGAGTTTTCAAATGCTATGACGAGACTAATTGTGTCCTAGGAGTTGGAAACCACCTATAAATAGTATATAATGGACAATGGCCTCAGATTTGAGCTGTATCGCTTAGCTGCTACATGAGCACAATGGAAACATTAATTTATGGACAGCCCTCGTATAATAGGAATGTTGGAGATCCTACAAACAATAAAATAACTAAAGTTGTTTCACATTAGTTTTGGCTTCAGCTATGGAAGTAGAATGGAACGGAAAGAGAGCGTAGCAAAATAAAAGCTGGAGAAATGAGTTTTAAGCGCTATTAACACGTTGACTGCTGAAAACCTTTACACAGGCGCTCCCTAAACTGAAGTACCCGCTACTGAATCAGCGATTGCTATTGGCATTGATATATCTCAGTAAGACGAATCACAAAAGAGCAGTGGTGATTGTTCTGCGTTACCCCGAAATTGGACGTAGTTCACTGAAAAAAAAGGGAGCAGCACTGCCTGGATCAATAACCAGAGTCTTTGTAATATGGCTGGAATTGAGAAAATCCCCAAAAACGGGACAAAAGCATTGCCAGACAGGATTTTACGGGAATGTTTAGTACCAACCAACGCCAAAATAAAGCTCGTATTCTAAGCTACAGCCTGGCAAATGAAATTAAATCAAATCAAAATGATCTTTATTCAACAATCACATTGTCGCCGGCCGAGTGCCGGGCTCAGACAGACACAATATTTGGCAGGCGAGCACACCACTGATAAGGCAGTAGGCCGCGAGCAGAGCCAGTGCCGCGCTACTGCTATAGCAGTAGGCCGCAGTCAACGTCTTAAGAGTAAAATTGAACAGAGTTTTAGGGCATTATTTTACTTTGTCATTGACGCTCACCTTTAAGCTTCAAGTCAGTAACATAATTTGTTTAGAATAGAACATAACTTTATTGTCACAATAAATGTCCATTTCTAATGTTCCAGCACAGCTGGGGAAACAGGTGACATTGTCAATATTTTTACAAGTGAAGTAAATAAATAATATTAAAAATATGTTCAGACATAATATAAATTATCTTTAAGGATCAAAGACAAACAATCGGAGTTATCCACTTTAGATAAAAGATAGGACTTAAAAGATTTTTCAAATTTTGAGATTCCTTAAATTTCTTTGATTCTGGCAGGTAGATTATTGTTAAGTCTTAAAATCATATTAAAAGGGAATCTTTCAAATAAACAGAGGCAATGTCTTGGGTATTGAAAATCATTGTTAAACCCGGTTGGATGGTTATGTTCAAAATGGTTTATTCTGTATGATTTTAAATGTTTTTTTTTTTTAAATATATAAACACTGGGCATTGCCAGTATAGCATATGATCCAGAAAATACTGTAGGCCTTTTGATCTTTACCTGTTCCCTTTTGATAGTTTCTGCGGAGAACTTAAGGAAGTGAGATATGTTAAGCGCATTTTGATTGGCAGATTGAATATTCCGCAAATAGTCGGCCATTGCCGCATTGGACTGCCATGCTGTGAATGCCTCACTATTCACATCCTGGACTGTAATCACCTTCCCATCATCTGAAAACAAAGAATTACAGTTGTGGATAGCTTTTACTTGTTAATGCCCTTAGCTACTTTCCAAGTAGTAAGAGAATTGAAGAACTTCCAAAAAGTATAAGAACTGAAAATTACATGTTCTGGTATAAAAGGATTAAACCAACAATGCTACTAAAAAGTAGCAGAGCCAAAATAACATGTAGGCCTAACTAGTTCTCAAACAGTAACACATGTGAAATGTAACTAAGTTAGTTACAAAAAAGTAACATAAGTGACTAGAGTAGTAATCAAAAAGTAAGAGATGTAAAATAACAAGTAACTAGAGAACTTTTGCTGTTCTGCAGCGTTGGAATGATAATCATAAAATTATAATGTCAAATTGACTTTTTTTTAAGCAAGACAATATAATATTACATTGTTTTCAAAAATATCTTGAACGTTAACTGATTCAAACGATCGATATCTCAAATTAAAAAAACTAAAATAAAAATAGAGTTAGGCCTATGTATTATTGATTGTAGATAAATACAAATACTAAAATAATAATTTTTTCATTCGTGATTCAGCAACATGCTTCAGGTACATCTGATCTTAATAATCAATTGCTCATATGAAAGCTGGTATTTCACTGAAGGTTCTTAGACCAAAGCATATAGGATAATGTAATTAGAACTGGTTGAATACATATTTAATTGAAGTAATGATTAAAAATAAAAATCAAATTTATGTGTTTGTTGAGTAAGACAGTAGATAGATGAATGATAATGCTTCACAGCAGCAAATTTTTGAGTGTATACCTTTAATTTAAGACCAACATATTGAAAATTGGTCAAGTAAAAACAACACACAACAAAAACGGTAAAAACAAAAGGTCTATATGCTGTTGAGGTGTAAAAAGTTAATTCTCACCGTTTCCTCCCTTGTCCTTATCTTTTTGGCTCTTGTCGCCCTCCATGTCTTCCTGTCGCACAGCTAACATGTCCGGAGTAATCTGAGCGACCACAGCGACAGGGTACGCCTGACTGGACCCCTCGCCTTCGCTCAGCATCGGCTTGACATCAGGTAGCACCTTAAAACATTACATCAAACCAGCTGTAGCACTCGCTTGACATCAAGTGTATATTCATTGTATTAGATGAAAGAAATAATAATACGAGTGTGTTTTTAACGCAAACAAAATTATAAACAAAGAGTCACTTTTAACAGACAAAAGAGGGAAAAGTAGTACGAGGCACTGACTTAGTTAACAACTTTTTACCAATAGACAAAATTTTTCATGACACAAAAAGAAAAATATATTGTAAGTGGCCTAGTACCGTAAAGCCTCAAGATAAGATCATCATCATTATCAATTAAAAATTAAGATATGAAAATGAAACCATTACAAACAAACAAGGTAAGGAATGTGTTATAAAAACAGGAAGTCGGCAGGTCAGGAATTGAATTGGTACCAGCTGGCGTTCGAAGCATTACAATTTTACTTCTTTTCTCTCAATTGTTGAACTCCATTGGTAGGTTACTTTACAACACTAGTGCTATCAAGTAAGTAAACAACGCGGTGAAGTTTTCAATTCTAAAAATTGAATCAAAAAAATTAGTTTAAAAAACGGTCATAAATATATTTTAGTTTATGATTTTGTTCTGAATATTGAAAGAACAATTCATAAACTAGCATCACCAAGCTCACCATTTCATCGCAGTGCATTCCCTGCGTGGTCTGTGTGCTACTGTTGTTATTGTTATGTTGTTGTTGCGCCTCCTGGTGTTGATGTTGAACTTCTTGTTGATCACCACCATCTTGGCGTACTTCTCCATTCTCGTCGGCTTGTTGCAACTAGAAAATAAAATTAAAAATTATGTAAAAACTAAGATTGGTTGCAAATGGGTACCTTAAAACATCAAGAAAATGTAAGTTTAAATTAATATAATTCCTGTTGGAATAAAGAAAAACAATAACTATTACTGTAGATCTAATGGTATGACCTTAACCCGGGACCGATTTACTTTTTTGTCCCCAGAGGCCAAAAACACCACCTGTTCAAATTCATATATCTTTTGGCACAATAACTCAAGCATAAATTATCCAATTTCAATTAAATTTGGTACAAACGTATAAGCCTACGTTTATTCGAACAAGTTTGTGAACCAGTGTGATCGGACCATGGAAACGGGATTTTATGGCAGGATTTAAGGGGTGAAAATAGGTTTTTCTCATTTTTACCCACAAAACATACAATTTTCCAATTTCTCTCTGATTCATTTTGAAGAGCTTTAAAAAAAAATTATAATAATAATAATATCTTGAAGTGTTTTTGTACAGTTATTTGTTACAAAGACAATTCTAAAATTGTAAATTTAAAATTCCCTTGTTATTTTCTTATTAAGAATAAGTAAACTGCTGAAGTTTGCTTGTTCATGGGTGTGTTTTGATCAAACTTGGCCAATTTATTTATTTTATGCTAAGCTATTAATATTTTACTTAAAACACACTTTATTACCCTCCCTGTAGCAGCAAACCTAAGTACTCGTTAAAACTAATGTTATTGAAATGGATTTAATTAATTGATGGAAATTAAATTTGCTTAAATTAAATTTAAACTTTTAATTTTTTCTTCTTAATTTAATATAATTTTCGGTTTTATTCGCATAAACTTTAATTGTATGACTTATTATATTACCTGTAAATGTATTCCATCTGTTCCCCCTTGCGCTGGACTATACGCCAATGTAATCATCTGGAAAGTAACAAATAGTTAACATAGTTAAAAAACTAATAGAAAATAATAACTTTAAACTTTTTATTAATTACTATCAAATGCATTTAAGAGAATATACCTAAACTATAAAAAAATTCCCTACCACAGAAAGTTACAACAAATAAAAATAGGAAAGTGTCCCTTAAAAATAGGTTTTTTCAAAAATTACAGTAGACTAAGGTCTTATGGTTAATGCAGCCCTAATGTCAATATAATATTTTGGAATGGTGTTGGATTACTGAAATGCTAATGAAATAATATTTAGAGGGATGTGTCGATTCTCAATGCCACTGATTCTTAGACATTTGTGTTGGTATCAAGAATTGATCGTCTAGAATCAATGCCTACCTGACATGTCTGTTATGATAGCCTGAATCGAAAAATACATGCGTCACTACCGCAGACGACAGTGTACTGCGGGAGACGATGATGATGTCCATAACACCGCGAGGGGTGATCAGAATTTGTCTGCGATTATGGAAGAAGATGGTGTTGTTTCTGTTACCAAGGAATGTATAAAGATTTTGCAGCACTCGTAGAAGACAATGATGTTGTACAAACAACCACAGGATGTATTCAAGACTTTGCCACAGCAGCAGAAGAGAATGATGATGTTTCCATGACTGAGGAGAATATTCAGGATATTGCAGTGATTGCAAAATACCATTACTATGTTCCTATGACCAGAGCAGTTAATACTGTTCACATTATGCTATTTTAACTGGTTTTAAAAACTAAACAAATATTACCTACTTACATTACAATAAACATGGTTTCAAAGCCTTGCTAGTTTGAAACAAACTAAATTGATTTATTTTTAAATAAAAACTAGTCAATATTATTTTACTTTGATTTAGCGATAATGGTTCTGTATAAGGATAAAAAAGACAAATATCGGTTGCTTATTCGTGTTATAAAGCCTCTTTATACAAAATAATTAGGTAAGAAAAAGTAAGTTTTCAATACCATTCCCGTACACGGCCGTTGAGTGTAACACTATTGGTATACCTTCGTAAATATTACAACTCCGTTTTTTTTCTAATTTTTTAAAGAAACCTATAACTAAAATGATTTATTTTGTTTTGTAAGCTATAATAGTTATTGATATACTTTCTTTACAAAACTACACTACACCTTAAGTCACACAAAAGGAATACCACAGATTGAAAAACATTTAATAAAAAAAATTAAGTTGTTAAACAATACTTACTTTTATGCCTCCCGACGCAGCGAGTGTATTTGGGTCGATTACACCTAGGACTAAGTTTTCCATTCCCTGTAAATAAAATATAATATTTCAGTCAATTTCTGATCAAACATACTTTTTAGCAAATCAGGAAGAAAATAATGATTGTATTCATATGAAATTGTACATTTTAATATTATGATAAGTATAGGGCTGGAATATGGAAAAGCTACGTATCCTATCTCAATGAATATAACTTAATTGAAAAAATATTTAGTAAATTTGGGTTTTACTTATGACAAAGTTTTTTTAAAGCGAGAATTAAAGTAGTGTTGGTTTGATTTGGCTTTGAATGATTGCAGCATTCTAAACATCCTCTTTATAATCCTGAGCATGTTCTAACTGGATAATTTGGCTTTAATAGCCACATTTGGAATCGGGTGTACAAAGTCCCATGTACTGTAAATAAAATAAAGTATTAAGGTTTATTTTTTGCAAATTTCTGTTAGTATAACAACATTTTAAATCAGCAAAATAAGAACATTAATTAACCAACTATAATTTCTACAGAAATTAAATAGACCGAAATATATCATGTGATTAGGATACCGGTACGTGTGGAAACAGACCTAAGTCTATAATCAAATCCCTTTTAGAAAAAAAAAATTTTAATTATTCTGCTGCGGCAAAGCATGCTCTGTACGTTACACCTCAGGCAATTCGGATTAAGTATCAATTTGTAAACTATCACAATCTATAACATATTAATGCAGATTTACCTGTCCTTGAGGAAAATGAGCCAGAGTGAGAGGAATTGAGTACTTCTCCCCGCCTGACCCATCTGCCGGGTTCACCACTTGAATCTGTAGAGGTTGCTGCTGGGTCATCTCACCCGGTTTGCCAGATCCACCCATGTTGATCGGCAGCGCCATGATTTGTTGCTGGAAAACCAACGGTTATTAACTAACTATTATTATTAGGGTAAAAAATATTGAGATTGTTTACTGTACCCATTGAATTTTAACAATGCAAAAACCTTTTTGTAAAATATTCAGCCTTTTTTATTGTTGCCCTCGACCATCGGTGGTAAAAAAAAATGATTATACCAGTTACACAAGAAACAGCTGACATTAGTAAAAACGCCACACAGGTAATTTCTTATTAGGAATTTTACAAGAAACTTAAAAATTACAATAAAACCCATTTAAACATTATTTTTAATGCAGCGTTTGCCATATTATTTAAGCAAATACATATCTTTTTACAGGAAATTCAATTTTAGCCGTTTCGTGTTTTTCAAGGGAAACTCTTTAATTAATAACACATCAAAGAAACAGTAGGTTTTTATACATCATTTTTAAGTTTATTAACTGAAGAACTCGACAGGCCTCCTCAATTTTTTACTCAAATACTTGACTCTACTCAAATTGACAAATCACTCCTCGCCCACCCCTAAAGTTTTATGTTGCTGTTAGTTTTTATAACATTTGCTAAAACTATTATCAAGACTCTAAAAATGTTGTTAAAACTATCAACATGTGTGCCACACGGAACAGCAACAATATCCCATTCGTTTAACAATCCCATCAGAGACGTTTTTCCAATCAATTTACATACGTACCCTTTTTAAGATTTTTATTCAGAAAAGGAGAAGTTAAAAAAAATTTCTAAAATCAACCTTGACACCAAAAAAGGTTTAGAATCAGAATCAGGCCTACCTGAATCATCTTAGTCAGGCCTACCTGATTGTGTTGGGAGTTGTTCCCAGAAGCTTGTGGAAGGCTTATTGTGAACGCTCCGTTACCAGCGTCGACTGGCCTTAGGTACGTTACTCCTTGCTCGTCTGAACTCAACAGTCCTACCACCTGTCCTCCTCCAGTGGTACCAACCTGCAGTGAGCAAATATAGCTTAAAATTATGTTACCAGCTTAACAACAACAAAATACCTAGAAGTGCTATTACAATGAATACATTCAATGAATATTCAATAGTGAGAATGCTGGTTTGATTCCGAGGAGGATCGGATCTGGACATAGAGGCTATGTGTCATTGAGCAACAATTAAAAGGCGTAGGATGGTGACAAGAGCAGGGTTTAAACAGTTCTAAAAAAAACAATTTTGAGTAAAAAGTTGGCATAACCTATAAATCTATGGGTAAATAACCTATTCTATAACCTATAACATTCTATAACATTCTATAACCTATAAAACAAGATTACAAGATTATGGAAGCAATAACATTTTGGAAAAGCATAAATGTTTCAGTGAGAGTTTGATTACAACAATGGTTGTAATGAGATAGTTTGACGTCGCCCTCTTGACTCATTTCCTTTCGGTCATTTTGATATTAACACGATTTAATACATTTTACAAATTCAAAACATAAAGTAGCCTAATTAATTTTGTACAGGTAATATTAAATGAATATCTTGTCTTTAACTAAAAAAATAAGCATAGAGTTTTCAATTTCTTATACTTATGCTATATTACGTACTTAGGCCTATATTACGTAGATAGTCCGGAAAATAGGTGTTTACCATACGAGTAGGCCTACAGTGAACACATTTTGGACTAGTGACATAGTTTGATATTTTTGCCGTGTATACTACTTAACTAACCTAATAAAAAAAAAAAAAAAACTTTACAAATCTGTTATATATTCCTATCAACTACAGGACTTAAAAATCCCTTCTCATCCCTTCTAAGAGATGTTAAGTTTTCGTTTATAACTTAATACCAATTGTAATCAGCTAAAGTTTGGTAAAAACTCATTACAGTAACGTACAGTAGTATGTAATAAAATTCCATTAGTTTAAGCATGCGGCAAAGAGATATTTTTCAGACTAAATCCTTTTGTGGAAAGTCAATGAAAACAGTGTAGTGTGGCGAAAAAGACATTGTTGACTTCCTAGAAAGTTGAAACAAGTAGGCCTAAAAATAATAAGATTAACTAAACCTACGTTATCACTTAGGCCTAAATAAGCAAACGGTACGTAACTAAAATCATTTTAGGCATACAATACTAACCTGCTGAGCAAATTTGGCAGTTGTAAACTGGTGCCCTGCGGCAAAAGTTGTCCCGAACGGAAAATTCATTTCCATTGGATTAGGCTACTTCGGTTTCTTCAAATTATTAAAGAGAAATCTGCTTTCCACACAGTCACCTGCAACTGTGAAAAATTTGTCACATTCACTGAAAAGAAAAAAAACCAAAAAAACGGTTATCATTAAATATTGTGTCAGAACCTCTAAATCTTAATTTGTTGTTTTGTTAGCGGTTTAGGTAATTTTATTTAACTTGATTGACCGAGTCACAAAAAGTTAGTTATTTGTTAGGTTAGGCTTGTGACACTGAAGAAACACAGAAGCCTAACTTTTAGATTTCCTTGCATCGACAAACGATTTCACCATTATGAACATTTAGGGTAGGTATATTTTTCATCTGAGCTGTAAGGCTAACTGAACTTAATAATATTTGCAATTTTTTGGAGAAATTAATTCTTTTGTAGGGGATTAAGCTATAAGCTAATCAGAAATTACATTGTATTTCCTTATTTTGTTCGTTCAAACCTCTCATGGCATTATTTTGTTGTTCATATTATTATTAAATTTGTGTTGTTATTTCTCTTAGATTTATAATGTTATTGTTCCATTGTTATTATTCAAAAACATGTAGGCCTATATTGTTTATTTATTTATTTTATTGAACATTCCATTTTACATTGTTGTGAATTATTAATAGTTTTATTATTGTTACAAGTTAAATAATTTATAACCCATCAACTTTGTTAAAGGACGTTAATTTTCTCTTGTTTTCACATTAGTTTTTGCCATATTATGCTTTATTATATCACACTTCACATCACAAATTTTAATGTGTACACGCACATTTTCATTAATTTTTCCAACTTTTGTTAAAATTGTTGTGTCGAGGATAAATTTGAAAATCATATGTTAGAACTCATTTTGTTTGAAGTGGAATTGTTGTAGTAGTATTTATTATCTTGTTTGTCACTTTTTTGTTCTTTTTGTTTTAATTTTATTTGCTTGTTTCTTTCCTTTGCATTTCTACAAATAAATAAATACTGTAATATCTCTGAAATTATGTAAAAGCGGTGAATCATAGAAAAAATATATTATAATTAATAATAATGGAAGTATCTTTAAAACTGGAAAACAATATAAAATTTTGAAGTCAATCAAGCAACATGGACAATTTTTTTTGGGTCACTTTACATGGATTGGTTGGATGTGAGTCTATGCTTCCAGAGAAAACAACTTCAATACTATTAACCACTAAACTAGCTTAGCCTGATTGTAGGTCCATACCTGATTGAATGATTTTTTTTATGATAAAATGTAATGACTAACTTAAACTAGTCCTACCAGTTTATTTTATACACTATATTTTTCACAAAACCCATCACACACAAAAACATTGGTTTTACATGGTTAGTATACATTTATTAATTTTGTAGTTACCGTAAAATCAAATGCATTAATATAGGGCTATTTAATTAATTTCAGTGTGTTTTTCTAAATGGTACATATAGCCTAATAGGTCTAAGGTTTAAGATTACATGTGGAAAGAAATATAATAAAAACTAAAACTATATATTATTTTTTACTGGAATAACTAGTTGTTTAAATGTAATAACTTAAATAGGTGTAAAAATAATAAGTAATAAAGGGAATTGTGATTTGACTGGTGTGGCAGCACTGCTTAATTCCATTTAGTTACAGTTGGCACAACTGGCTGTCAGCTGGAAGCAAGTGTGGTTTGAGGGTCAATGACCTTGGCCCTACAACTGTTGTGATTGGTGCAATCCTTTCTACTCCAATACAGAGTCTGTTCATTGCTACAAACTTTTATTTCCACCAGCCCTAATTACTGTCTTTTTCTTACATGTACAGTATCTGCTCCACAAAACTCTTTTTTAAACAAGCTTACAGAGTATTTGTTAAAGGTTACAACTTAATTGTTTGTTTTGTGATTACATTTAGTAGTAAAACTCAATTCAAATTTAAAGCAAAAAAAAACTGTTTCAACTGTAGCCATCTTGTTAATATATCCATTTTGTAAACTGGGAAATAGATAAATAAAAAACTATTTTAATTAGTTTGACAATTAATTATGTTCATAGGCTAATTAACCTACTCCCAATTTATTTACAGGCAAGCATTAGGTCTATTTTTTACCAAACACACAAAAAATTTGTAAATACAATTGACTAAAAATGTTCAAATTTTTTAACATTGATCATAAAGAATAAAAATTTTTAGACTTGTTTTATTTAAGTTTACGCAGCTAATATGTTTGTATTATTTTTAAAGGTAAGCAAAGGCTAACTAAGATGCTGAGAAATATGTTATTTATGAAAACTAAAATGAATGGTTGGTGATTGGAATTTCTTTTCATGAATTAGTAATAGTCACCAACGACAGAGATAACAGA